TTCTACAAGCATGTCACAGAGGGGATGGGAGACGTTGTCCATGATAATCTAACAATATCACAGCTTTAAACATTGTTACATGGCACATGCACTATTAACTATATAAGGTGTACCTAAAGCTTTTCCCTCTCTACATCCTGCATAGTTTCACTCAGTCATGGGACCAAATTCCTTTCTGAAAATCCAATGTATCTTTTTTGATAGAGTGAAGAACACGGCATATGGATGTGTTTAGTTTTTAGCTTAGTTCTGCACAGGGATACCTTCGACATGGAGTGTGTATGTTCTCATCAAACTTGCAGGTGGTCTGGTCTCCACATACTTCTCATAGACATGCAGGCTATGTAAGATGATGCCTGTCTCTTTGTCTTGTGCCCATGTGTGTCCTGTGATTGACTGGCGTCCCATCCAGGGTGTAGTCTCAGCTTGTACTCTGTGCTTCCGAGACTTTGACAGGAAAAAGCAAAACATTTCTGAAAATGAATGGAAGTCAACATTATTATTAGATTGATTGCACAAGTAACAGTACCTTTGTTTTTTGCACAGCACTTACTATTAAAAGAAACATACCCACTGTACATGCATACAGTAACTTCAGTACTTCAGTCGTAAATATTGCAGTAACGGATTTATCTGTTCTGTGTGGTCTAGTTTGAACGTCACAGTAACATTTTATTTTACAAACTACAATTAATGTGCGTGACATTCAGTTGGTAGCTCTTACTGAGATTTTTATAAATAAAAAAATGTCTGATTCTGCTAATAATCACACCATTAATTCTTGCTTATGGTTGTTGAGAATATTATTGTCGTCTTCTTGTAATATGTGTTAAAAAAGTGTTTAATCACGGCTGTGTAGGCCTTATACTGAAGTGTTACCAACATCACAGAATGCGTCTTGGACCAATAGAGTCCCAACCTCTGCACTCCTAAAGACAAACACTTCAGTGCCATGGCTGCCTTCATGCTGCAGGAATGCTGGACAGCACAGGAAATCACATTCTCATCCTAACATTCTTTATCCTGGCGTTCCTGCTTTTTAGCTTATTTATTAGTCTGTGGCACTGAGTGAAAACCTCTGGGGTTTTTCCTCTGACAATCCATTTGTCTATTCCTATTCAGTTGCAATTCTTTTCTGTCTGTCCATTCTACTGATGCTAGCAGCTGCTAGTTTCTTTGTTTCCTGTCGTGCCCTGGAGAAATGTGTAGAACCACGGTATGCATTGGGCATCTTTAGATGCTGTAAAAGTCTTTTGGAACTGCTTTTGTAGGGTTCTAAGAATGTAAATAACATTAAGCAACATATTTCACTTCCAAATGTATGCAAATATGCAGTGAAAATCTGAGTTGAAAGTCTCTGCAGTTCGGTGCAAGCATTTCCAGTATGCAGATGATTGCAGAAGTTTACAATCGAATATGATTTTGTATCTTGTACGTACAGTATATAACCCTATTGTTTATTTGTAGTGTTCAGGTTGAAATGAATGATAATATTTATGTACCATTTACCAAAAAGAGAACAGAGAAGAAAGAGAAGCGAGGAAGCACAAGCTTGAAGGGAATTAGGATAATGTGTCCATCTAAAATCTCCACAGAGATTTGTTTTTGTTTACATGCTATCGCAGTAAAATACCTGTACAGTCTGGACAGTGAGACAGTCAGAGATAAGGTGTTGTTTCTCCTTTGCAGAAATTTAACAGTCGTAATCCAGGCTTGGACCAATTAATTGCATACCCTGATAGAAAACCCAAATCATCAAAAATAGTTAGCAGACGTGGCAGGGAATCTGTATATTTTACACATACATCATCATAGAGTGATTTTGAGTACTGTTAATGTAAATGGACCCAGAGAGATTCAGCAGGAATTTGTCGAAGCAATTTAAAGAAATCAAGTTTCAATATCTTAGGGATATAAACTGAAACAAAAGCCAATTTTTGGACCTGAAATATTGTTTTTTTTTACGCATGGCAGTCTCCTTTGTTGATCGCTCTTTGACCCCAGCACAAAAAATCAGAAATGTCTTTGTTTTGTCCTCTGCAGATGAGGAAGCTGCTACACTGTAATACTTACCGGTATATCTGCCCACATCGTGTTGTTTCAGATGAGATTCTGGTATCATGGCAACCTGTGTGTTGTTCCTTTTGCTGCAAGACTCTACAGCTAGCGTGTGTGGTAGGAGAAATCAGCCTGCAAGCACTGAAGAACAAAACAGGAACATCGATCGGGGGACTCAGAGTCTGAATCCAACATCTAATAATAATGCTAAGATAGAAATGGAATCCTTAAATATGCTTCCTAACAGGGTCTACCCCCCATGCCAAACAACCCAAAGGAAGATAGGGGATCCCAGCCGTGAATACATCTCATCCCCTTCATCTCCCCATGCTGCTTCCATGACACACCTCCATGAGAGGGGCTGTCCTCTGATAATTCATGTAAAAAAAGATTCCCCTAAAAAGTCCATATCTTTTACAAATAAACTACTATTTGCCTCAATCAAGATCCACCAGGATAACAATAAATAATCCCACTCTGCTACACTCAGAACAAATACAAATATGTCACTTTGAATCAAATAAATGTCAAATGTTAAAGTCCATGAGATGTCAGCTTCCCATGGGGATTACCATATTACAAAAAAAAAACCCATGCATCCTATGCAAATAAAAGTCAGTGTTAACAACGTGGCACAAAAGAAAGTGGCATTTTAGTCTGGTCTGCCGCCCTGTACAGACATCCCTATGGGGAAATTACACCATTGGTTCTGATGAATTTGAAAAGTTCCAATCATTTCCGTTCTCTAGAGCCAAAATATCACTTTGCCTACTCTGTCCTGTCTACGTGTTTGTCCTGTTTTGAATTTCTGTGGCTCTTTTATGGCGGCAAACGAAAAATAATATTTGTCTAAAGCAAATTCTAAAATAAATAAAGCAAGAGAGTATGAATGCATTCCAGCATAGAAAAACAAAATGCTCAGTGCTCCACTGGTGTGGTGGAAAATGTACAGTAACATACACACGTGTCCCTGATACATATCTAGAGGCCAATGGCTCAATGCTTTGGCTGTGCTTTCTCCTCTTAGTCCATCACAGACTTTTTTCATTTAATTTTCACTCCAGGAGTAATCCAAACCGCTATATAAACTTGACGATCCTGATTGCACAAATGAATCATTCATGTTTGATCTCGGAAGAAAAAGAGTTTTTTGTACCCCTCTTGTTTGACAGCTGCACAGGGTGAGAACTGAGTCAGAGGTCATTCTAAGGGACAAAGGCATGAACTTAAGATTCCGCTTCTATTAATTCCTATATCTTAGCTTCTCCAATTCCATCTGCAGTGTTGATTATTCTCTTGATGATGGAGTGTTTTCTACCCAATCAGAATCAACTAATTAAGAAACGAAGAAGAAAACACATTTCATTTTCGTTGATAAAAATTAGGTGCCGCAGCTGCAGGTTCAGTCATTTTTATTCTTTGGGATGCAAAAACAGTAGCTGATAGTTATAAGAGGCAACAGGTACAACTCTGTAAGATGAATTGGCTGGGTAAAAAATTCGAGAAAAACTGCTACTCATTTGGAATTGTTGGGCAGGATGTGCCACGTGTTTTCATGAAGATCAAAAGAATACTCTCCCTGCACTTGTCTGCAAAGTACTATACCTCTTCTTGCATCATTGCTGGTTCTATTGATGCGTACTCTTCAAGACCAACATGTTACCAGAGAGTAACAGTAACCATGCTGTCTACATTTAATACAGAAGAGATGTTTCTGCCAACTTAATGGAAGAACTATAGCTAAGCGACACTAATCTATATACAGTAGCTGTATGACACAATAATACAGAGAAAAGCATAGCCTTGGAGATTGCCATAGACACTGGTCAGTTTTATGTGTTAAGCATTAATATATTATTTAACACTCTGCCAGGATTAAAAGGCAAACCCACTGGGGACCACAAACAGTAATGTGATCTGCAAACTCATCACAAAGTGCAGTGTAATCTAGAATCTGAAATAAGACTTGAGTTCATTAGCCAAAAAGGCACGGTTCCATATTCTGCATTCTCCTTGGTAACACTGTTATTTCCAGGGAAAATAAATGAGAATGAGAGAAAAAGTATGGAAATTTGTGACCAGTTCCAAGTAAACAGTTGCTAATGCTGAACTAAATTTGGAAGGAAAAATGCAATGTGGAGAAAATAATCGGTTGGAGGCTAGACATATTATTTTGGCTGCATGCTGGGATCGTCAGTTCCAGCTGAACGTGCTAGAAAGTCAGCTGCAGCAGTCGATATGAACTTGTGTCTTTTCGTGCATGCTATGACCTGATGCCACCGAAATTCAAATACATTTTATGTTGCCTCCCTTTGAAAATTTTAAGTATGCATCCGACTGCCTACGATTTGCGTTATAATAATCATTCTCTACTGAAAGGCGTTAAAATGCACCAACCTTAAAATTAAAACTAAAATTCCCTCCAAACCATCCTCTGAGTCTTTAATACCTCTCGGTATATTGAGCTCTTCCCTTCTGATTTCCTGAGGATTTTGTGAAATAGGACTTCTTTCCACTATAATGATGTCAGTCCCAAATCACAGACGTACCGTGTATTGGAAGCACTTTATTAAGCAGTGTAAAAACAAACCTTCCGTACACAGCGAAGGTCAAGAATACCTGGACTTTTTCCAAACCCAGCCAAGCTCATAAGCATATATATTGTGTCCAGAAACTAAACAAGTCAGGTTTGTATAGTAACATTAACAATGACAGGCAAAGGAAGGCGTTGTAAAGCAAGCGTGAGTCATAAACAGTGTCAAGCTGAAAAATGACACATGGAAAAAATGAAAAGTGCACCAACAACTTAGGGGGGCAAGACACCACCTTTCAATTTTAGAGTTGTTTTCGTTATGAAACAATTTACCAACTTCAGCATTGGCCACCCTTCCTCCAGAAAAAAAAAAGAAATAAAAATGATATTCATTTGGATTGTGTTCCAGGCCGGGCTGAAGCAGAGCTGAAGAATTTCAGCCCTCACTACAAACGCCAATATGCCATAGCCTTTTTCTCTGAGATTCACGATGAGGTGGAGCAGCACAAGCCGGTTCAGACACAGCTCCTGAAACAAAGGGTAAGTTGCAGCAGAGGCTTTGCCAGTGCTGTAAAGAGTCCTGTATGAAATAAATATGGAAAATAAGAATAATTCCTTATACTTATATAGCACTTTTCTGGACACTCCACTCAGAGCGCTTTACAGGTAATGGGGACTCCCCTCCACCACCACCAGTGTGCAACCCACCTGAATGATGCGACGGCAGCCAAAGTGCGCCAGTACTCTCCCCACACACCAGCTCTCAGTGGGGAGGAGAACAGAGTGATGAAGCCAGTTCAGAGATGGGGACTATTAGGAGGCCATGATTGGTAAAGGCCAATGGGAACTTTGGGGTTACACCCCTACTCTTTCGAGAAACAGGGATTTGTAATGACCACAGAGAGTCAGGACCTCAGTATAAAATCTCATCTGAAGGACAGTGCCTTTTTACAGTGTACTGTCCCCATCACTATACTGGGGCATTAGGACCCACACAGACCACAGGGTGAGTGCTGCTGGCCCCATTAACATCTCTTCCACCAGCAACCTTAATTTTTCCCCAGGAGGTCTCCCATCCAGGTACTGGCCAGGCTCACACCTGCTGAGCTTCAGTGGGGCTGCCAGTTGTGAGTTGCAGGGTGATATGGCTGCTGGCGAAAACAATAATAAACTCAGGGACTGAGTGAACAGCTCTCCTGATATGTCAAAGCAGTGTGACTTACGCTCCCGTTTTACTCTGCAGGATGCCCTGGAGCCCGGGAAGGTCCTGTATGAAGAGAATATACTGCATTACAGCGATGAAGTGAAAAAGTGGAAGGAAAGGTTCGTGGTGGTGCGGGGAAACTACAGTTTGGAATGCCACGACAGCTACGAGGTGGGTTGGCATTATAAGCCGCAAGGGGCCAGTGTCGTTTTTCCAGTGGGAGGGCCCCATTTCCCAACCAGCCATGTTGGAACGATTGAAGAGGAAGGCGAACAATCACCGAGGAGGGCACTAGAACAGCACCTATTTCAAACAGAGACATGTGCCCTGTGTGCCCTGTTGCCCAGACTGTGCTGGCTTGGGTCTGGGCTGTGTCAGCAGAGCGTGACTGGACATCCCTGAGTGACAGTATGGCCTGGGTGTGCTTCAGATGTCCAGGGTATTGTTGGAGACCCCTGTGGCTTGCAGATATAATTGAGGCTGTGGTATCACAAGTGATGACCATATCTGATCTCCCTTGCCTCGGCTCTCCCATTGCTGCTGTGGGCTTATAGAATGAATACCAAGGCCTCACAGTGCCATTATTGATAGATGGCTTGCATGTTGCTTTTATATTTGCAGTGACACTGTCACCCAAGTGACGTGGGGTGTTCTATGCATTGCATAATCAACTGAAAGACACATTATTTCCTCTTCTTCTTATTTTAAAAACCTGTGGAAGACTATAGCAGCGAGCCGAGATTAAAAAAAATTGGTGTGTCCAACTGTCCGCGGCGCGGGCTGAAAAGTTTTTTAAATATAAGTAAAGGACAATGACAACAGTGGAGGCCCCTTGTGTGTCTTTAACAAGCCAGCTTCAGATCGAAAACCACGATTTCTTTTCTTTTCCCCGTTCAAGACCTTCGTGAAAGGAGTCGAGCCCAGGCTCAGGCTGCTCCCAACAGGAGGAACTGTGGTGACATCGCTGGATAAGTACAACACACTGGTAGACAGGTCCTTCCCCGACCCCAATAGTGAGTGTCAAACCTGCCAGTGACTTGTGAGTAGCACAGCTCAGTGGTCTGTGGAATGGAAAGTCAAATTACCTGCTGCCAAGCTCAACCTACTTTGCTTTTTTAAAATTCAGCTTTAGGACTAGTGTCCTGTAAGGTGGCACGGAACAGAATGCCTTTGAAATCCTAGAGTTTGAGCTTTTGAAATTAAGAGGTGTCTGATAGCAATTCTTATTCTTTAAGCGAGGTTCATAGACACCTATACATTTATTTGGTGCTGCATTTCAGATCACACCCAGAGGCTGACTTCAGTAGGTATCTGCTGAAAGCACTTGCTGGATCAAATCTGTGTGTAGTTCTACAGCAACAGAAGCAACAGGGGTGCCAGCAGTCTGCAATCATGTGCTTATTTTGCTTGTTGAAAGCTTTAATTTGCCACCTCCACAGCCAGAGTGAATGGAAAACAACTTTCAGTAGCTCTCAGTCTGTACCTGATGACTCTTACCCATTTATATCTGGAGCAAGGGGAGGAGAACTGCAGCAGGCAGACTGTTAGACTGGCTGATCTTTAAGGGAGAGGTTTTCGTGACAGTCAAATGCCAAACCCAACACAATAACATGAATTGCCCTAAACTCCCACATCCAATTCACCAGTGGAGTTTGCTACTCTGAAATGTTCTAAAATAATTTTGGATAGTTAATAATCGTGGCATCTCTGCTTGAATCCCCTGGAAAAAAAGGCGGTAACTAGGATGTTTTTTGGATGTCTTTCGGAAATAAAACAAAACCAATAAGGAAGCACTGCGGTGTTCTATACACTACAAAATCAACTGAAAGATTATTTCCTTTCCTTTTTATATTAGAATCTGCAAGCATTTTATCCATTTAAAGCAATTTTTGGAAAACCCATATGGAATACCAAATTGCAGTTCAGCCCCAGTCACTCCTACCTTCCAACAAAAACTAAAAAGAATCAAGCATACACCCTCTGACACAAGTTTACAAAGCGAGGGACTTTAGTTTTCCTTATAACTCTGAAAAAAAACATGGTTTGGTTGTAGTTCTCTGTGGCTGGCCAGCTGTTTATGGACACCACCACTTGCACTGCCACTACAGGATACAGGTGGCTGATGGGATACATGGTTTTGGACCTTCACTCTCCAGAAGGAATAATCTGTTGTTGTTTTTTTAAATAGATGAGTTGCTAAAGTGTTCTTTCTCCACCTTCTCCAGCTAAAATATGTAGTGTATTACCACACTATTAGCAGGTATGTTTTTATTAAGCAGACTGACTCAAAATGACTTCAGTTCAAGGCTGTGTTTTCTCCTGCAGGTATGAGTGAAGAGGCTTCTCCTCCCCTGGTCACTATGCCTGACCAGTTTCCTGTTTACTTGCATCTGCCTTACCGAAAAGACTGGTACTTCTGCTTCCACAGCGAAGACGTCCAGAAACACTTCATCTCCATTCTGGAAGACTGTATCAGACATCAGAACCAAGGTATTTCAGGGACTGGAAGTGAATCAGGACTTGGGTTGGGTCAAAGTCAGAGAAATAAACCAACACACAAATAAGAAAAACGAAAAAGAAGGTGTTAGCTACAGCCCTCATCGTGCAGTATGGGTGAAATAATTTTGCATATGCATGGCAGGCGTTAGACCATAGAACACTGAGGTTTCACACCCTCATAATTATAAGACCAGGTGCTCTAAAACAATGAGCAAAGAACGTGTGGAACTTGATCACCATGCTTCTTGGTATTTTTCAATCGGCTTTATGATACTCTAATAATAACCAGTAGCAAGAGACCTGCTTCCTGTGTGGAAATGACTTCATCCTTTTCTTGTCGGTTAGTGGTTAGCAGTTTCATTAACATGTGACTGCAAGAGAAGCAAAAAAAGGCCATTTATTTTTACATTGATTGCAACTGATGATTTTTTTCTTTTGCTTCCCAAAAGATTGGCAAATATTGCCCTCAAAAGAGGAAGGTGGCACTTTTTTTTGTTCAAAAACTGAAAAACCACAGATTCAAATTGTATGTAATTGTGAAATAATCCAACACAAACAGATTTCAGACTGTGGAAAAAGTTTCAGTTTTCAGTTTAATCAATGTCAATGAGTCCTGTTAACCCACCCTTTTGCTTAACACAATGAATGGGGTTACCCTTGACTGCCTAAGACTTATTCTTTGCAATGTACAGTACCTCTTACTGCTACAACAATATTGGCAGAAATATTAAATCCACAAGCTGGGTAATAGTGGGTGATATAATGACCACATTTTTCACTAATTCCACACATCATAACAGAATAAAATACTGTAATAAGTACCATTCACTGTTACTATTCAGAAAAGTCTATAATACTCTCGTGTTTGAGAATTTGAGACCTAACGTCACAATAAGCTCAGTGTGCCGCAGGAGATAAAACACTTCCTCTCAAGTGGGCTGTGTTTCTCTTTCCAGACTTTCTCAAGAAGACAACATGTGATGTGCAGGCTTTCCTAAAGGCAGTGCAGTTCTACAGACAGGAGAAGAACCACTATGAGTCATGGGACATGTTAATAGGAAGTGATGCGAAGGTAGGTTATTTGTGGACAATCGATGTCATTTCGGTTTTTGAGTTCTTGACCAAAAAACAACAATGACCGAGGCAAACGTTCAGAAGTGTGATGGGAGTTGGCATACACACTTTAAGAATTAGGAATGAGACATAAGAATTACCGTCTTTCGGATGAGACATTAAACCGAGGTCCTGACTCTCAGTGGTCATTAAAGATCCTCGGGAATTTCTCGACAAGAGTAGGGAGTTATCCCGGTGTTTAGGCCAAATTTCCCCCCTCAGCCTTTATCGTGACCTCCAAAGTATCCCCATGTATGATTGGCTTGCACTTGCCCTGCGATGGACTGGTCCATGGTATAGCCTGCCTTGCGCTCATTGCTTGCCGGGTAGGCTTCCCGCGACACTGTATGGTATAAAGCAGTTTGGGAAATGACATGACGTTAGAATTAGAAGAATTAGCGTTTTTCACTGGGGGCAGAAAACAAAAGATATTCTCTTACACCCCCACAACAGTGCAAGGACAAAGCTGAGCGTCTGAATGGGGCCATTTATTTCACAAGATCTCTGTACATTGCAGTAACATAATAGTAAGTGTTCCAAAGTAGTCAGTTGCTGAATAACATGACTGGTGCATTTTGAAATGCCAGATCAGGGCTCCAAAACAATCAAATTCATCATATATCATTGGCATTGCCACAGGTATAATAATTCCGAAAACGATTATTCCTGCAGCTTTGTCATTTTGTAAACAGGATACATCATAACATTGTGAGAGAAAGCATACTTCCACGCACTTAATGATAGAGACATACCGTTCACTTCCTGAGACAGGAAGAATATTTGGGATTCTGTCCGATCTAAAAATATTTTATTTATACAGTGGTTAGCCACAATAAAAAAACAGGTGTTTCTTTCTGTTACTTATAAAGTAGACACTTTTTTTTCTAAATGACTCACATCCATGCATCTGGGCATTTAAAATGATGTCAAATAACTCGGGAGAGTGTAAAAAATTAAACACTTGTAAGTTCTCTGGAATTTGGTGTGCTTATCCCCACCGTTCTTTTCTGTTGTTGAGCTAATCTTGTTTGGAGGAAATTCCCTCACCGTACAGGAAATTGCTTAAAACAACTTTTGTTGATGTTCACACTTCAGCACAGAACACTGTGACGAGAGAGCCTTGTAGTCATTTGCTTTGCAGATTCTGTACTGTGCATCAGTCTACACTTTTCAGTTCTGTGTACATCTGTTAACCACACAATCATACAATATTATACAAGTTATTCAAGTTAAGAGCATTTTATCACATATTTTCTGACAATATAATTGCATTTGTAAGATATGGGGGACCACATTCATTTTGAAAAATGAAACTCTTTTCAGTTAAAAAAAAATATACGCTGTCACAGAATCTACTTGACTTTTAGATTTCCTGAGTTATTCTATTTTGATGTGTTTTCTAAACCGTTGAAGATCTCAATCTCAAGAACAACACATCTGAAAACAATCTCAGAGTCCCCCCCTACAGTTTGGTTTATGGTGGGCTGTACGTTTTGCAATAAAAAAAAACTTTAACTCGCCTCTAAACAACTATAATCCAAACTTAAACATTGAAATGAAAATTTAGATGATGTGGACTCTTTAGACCATAATCCTGTCACAGCAATAATTTATTACATGCTGAAAAAAAGAAGAGAGAAAAAAAAGTTTTGGCCGTGGAGCCTTCTTCAGGTGTCACACCTGAAGAAGGCTCCATGGCCAAAACGTTGTGTTTTTTCTCTCTTCTTTTTTTCAGCATGGAATAAACCTATTACTTGTTCCTTGACAGCCTACGCATGCTGACGCAGCTACCCACCTGAAATAATTTATTACGCTGAGCTTCATTCACTAAATCGTGTTTTAAGGTTTTCAAGCTGGTTCCTTTGCACAAAACGTTCCATTAGAATCTTTTTCTGTGTTAAAAGGGACATCGGTATTTGTCTGCTTGACTTCAGTCTGTTTTGCAAATGCAGTGCCTTGAAATGTTGGCCTCACTTCAAAATTATGTTTTCATGTAGCTCTACACAATAATAAGAGAAGCAGGCAATACAATGCGCTCTGAAAGTTAGTTTAGCTGGCAGTGAAAATGATAATCATAACATCACAGTATTAATAACAAGGTTGTGCTGTGAGATTGCGCTACATTGCTCACTATTAGATAGCCATCAGTGTGGGGTGTTGGATAGGGCACTGGACTCGTTTGGGGTTCAGTTGCTGGGTGGAACACTGCCGCTGTACTATGGAACAAGACAGACCCCTCCGATTGCGCCAGGAACAGGCCCAGCTGTCTAAACAAGAAGCCAGTACAAATATGAAATGCCTTAGACGTCAGCCAAAATAATTAACACTAATTTCTGTATTATCACCTCACGCCAGAAAAGAAAATACGCAGTAAACTGTAAAAGTGAAATAAAAGCCAAAACAAACTTCAGTTTCCTGTAGAATATAGGAACATTTATCTTGCTTCTATACTGTGTACTGTATTAAGTCACCACTAAAATATCAGTTGTACAATGTGACGTAGCACAGTAGTAAACCACATACACTGAAATCATGTACAATATTCAAATTCTTATGCAGGTGTGGGGAGGCAGCAACGTCATGAGCAGGAACTGTCAGGTCTTTTGCTCTGTGTTACATCAGGCTCTGTGACACTCAGGTGTTTTTTGCTCTACTGCCTGGAAACGTGGGGACAGATTTACCAGAGCCCGATGTGGCTTCTCTCAGCTTGTGAAAAGGCCGGCTGTGCTGTCTGTCCCTCAGAGCCCCCCTGTTCCCTGTGTGTGGCAGGTGCTGAGTAACCTGGTGATGGAGGATCTGCTGCCCTCGCTGCAGACCGAGCTGGTGCCCCGACTGAAAGGGAAGAAGAACGAGCGGAAGAGAGTCTGGTTCGCTGTACGTGGGCTTCGTACTGTACAGATCTCAACGAGCAACTGTTATTTTTAAACTGGCCACCAGGGGGCTCATCTGCATTGACTTGTAATACATCCCCCAGTGAGCATAGGCAGTAGATGCAGATCACTCAAATGTGCTTCTATGAAAGCCAAATTAAACAAAAACGTTTTTTAATATCACAATCTAGCAATATTTTTCAATGGTACACTACATACCTTTTTTAAAATATTTTACTGGGAGAAGTGCAAAGCAAGGAATGAAAGTTTTATATGACTGGTGACTTGCATATACAGTGTCCATTGGGGCTTCATACATTTAAGTAAAATAATGATTCTGGCATCTGGCCATATTCAACATTACTCATGTCAGAATTTAGCTCTCCCTCTTCCACTTCCTGCTCCAGACTGTGGAATCCGCCTACACCCTGGTCCAGGAGCAGGTGGCTGAGGGGTTGAACGCTTTGAAGGAAGAATGCAAGGAGACAGCCAAACAGCAGGAGGCCCGTATTCGCTCAGACATGGACCAGATTGTCAATTCTAAGAACTTCCTGGCTGGAAAGCTGAAAGGTACATGCCATGCTGCACGTGACAGGAGTGTTTTCCCCTAAGGATGCCCGTAGCTCCAAGCTAGCAGTCTCATGAATGGCTGTGAACCCAACATGTGACCTGCCCTAGAGAAGGGAGTGTTGTCTGGTGCTTGAGAGAACACCCAGATGGGTCAGCAGACATGACGACTGCTTTACCGGTGGCACTTTTAGAAGAGAAGCTATCCCTTTCGTTCGTGATTCAGTGTTAGCACCAGACGTCATACAGGGCACACTGAGATGGAAGCATGCTGGGAAGTAAGGGATTTCTGCAGATTTTTCCAGAAGATGGCATCATACGTCATCCGGAGTGTTCCATGAATAATCAGGGAGCACTCAAGGAATTAAGAATTTGGAAACAATTGAAATAAAAAATAAATCCTCATCATATTTTTTCAGTGCCTAACCTTGGAGACTTTCAAAATGAAAAATAAGCAGGAACATTAACATTGGTTTGTTAAATCACTCTTCACAGTGTTCTAAATCAACCATCCAATTCAGGGTTACAGGGGAGCTGGAGTCTATCCAGGGCACAAAGTGGGACACACCCTAGACAGGATGCCAGTTCACAGCAGGGCAGAGACACACACGCACACACTCACAGCAGGGCCAGAAACTGGAGCACCAGGGGGAAACCCACACAAACACGGGGAGAACTTACAAACTCCTCGCAGGCAGATAGCAGCCCAGGCCCGGAATTGAATGCAGGGCTCCAGCACTGTAACCACTGTGCCAACGTGTCGCCCATTGTTATAAGCCTTTGTTGTTTAAAAAAAAAAAGTTGTTTAAAAAAAAGGAGTATGGGCTGCTTGAAGTGGTGTACCAAAGCAAAGCACAGTTAAGCCCTTTGAAATGCAAGTATAGAGGTGAGGAACATGGCAGGTTGTCGCACTGTTGTTTGAATTAGGCATGGCCACGGCCTGTCTGTAGTGACCTGTTCCACTGCACCCCAGCCACAGTGTCGGAGCCCACAGTGAAGTGCTGCCTGGAGAGTGTCCAGCCCTACCTGGCCTCCATCCTGGAGGAGCTCATGGTGCCCATCAGCTCCGGATTCCAGGACGTTCGGGTCCTGGTGGAGAACGAGATTGACCAACTGGGCAAGGACTACCAGGAGAGCAACAGCACTGAAGAGCTGAAACAGGTGAGACTGGTCCTCATGCAACATCAGGCTCACAACTTCCCGAAACACAGCAGTACACAGCTGCTTCTGAGGCAGGTTGGTTGAGCATCTGCGCCTGCGTCTCCTGAAACTACTAGTGCGGTCAGCGGGGGGGGTGTCCGGGAGGGATATTTTGAGCAGGCTCAGAAGGATGCTAGTGTTGCTGGCAGAAGAGATCGGAGAGTGCTGGAGAGCTCACCCCACCCTCTCCTCCACAGGCCCTGGGAAGCCTTGGACAAGTGAAGATGAGAGACTGCTACCAGCAGGTGGAGGTCCTCCGGGAGCAGCTCAAGGAACTCAGAAACCGCTTCAAGTACTCCAACACCACCCGCCTGGTCCACAGTACACAGAGCTACATGCAACAGGTGGGGCCTTCCTGCAGATGTTTGATTGCTGCATTGAATACATCTCCTCTTGGAATTTTCAGTTTGGTAGAAAGATAGGGCCATTAAGGTTTACATGCCATGGCTTGGATATTCATGCACTGCATGGATAATGTATTCAATTCAAGAAGGTAGCTGCGTCAGCATGCGTAGGCTGCAAAGGAACAGGTAAAGGTTTATTCCATGCCAAAAAGAGAAGAAAGGAAAAGACTCAACGTTTCGGCTGTTGAGCCTTCTTCAAAATGTTGAGTCTCTCTTTCTTTGAGCATAGAATAAAGCTTTACCTGTTTCTAATGTATGCAATGTCATTATTTTTAATTCAATAGATCCACATACATGGGTCTGTTGTCATTTTTCTATTTCCTTCTTTTCATTTATTTTTTCCCCCGAAAGCACCTACCTCAAACCTACGAATTAACACTAAGAATCTGGTGAAGTATAGCATTATTAGCTAGATTATAGGTGCACCACGATACACCATGTTTCAGAAACATCAGATGTCTCAAAACATTTAACGTTCTCAATCTCTGCTGCCCCCTTGTGGTCATTGGAGTTTTAAAGGGAATTTGTTTCAGTTTAATGATGAGATAAGATCACTTTATTAGCTCTATACAATTTCTTGCATTAGGAATTTGTCTTTTCGCATACCCCAGCTTGCTGTCCATGAGACACACAGACAGGGAGAGAAGCTTGGGGTCAGAGCGCAGGGTCAGCCATTGTACAGCGCCCCTGGAGCAGCTGGGGTTAAGGGCCTTGCTCAGGGGCCCAACGGAGTAGGATTCCTCTGCCGGCCGCGGGATTGAACCAGCAACCTTCCAGTCACAGGCGCAGATCCTTAGCCACACAGCCACCACCCTTTAGTGACACTAAACACTTACAATTTAACAAGGTTGTTAAAGATTAGTGTTTTCTTCTTCTGTATTTGAATTCTTCTCTTTAGCTGATGGATAATGTGGTGTACACCTTTGAAATGCTGCTTTTCACTGCCCTGAAAGATAACCCTGCCAATGTCCCATCTGCCATTGAGAAGGCCAAGCAGAGGGTTCTAAAGGTAAGCAGCCCCTTCTATACAGATCAGCCTCTTAGAGAATTGGGAAAATTCTCATTTCCACTTAATCACGTAAATGACAAGAAACAAAAGCCCAATGACATAAAGGTGCTATGGCCTATCTATGGTCTGAACACAGTATTTTATAAAAAGTGACAACAGATATGCACACAGAAAATGGCACAGTAAAGAGTATCTACCTCACCACAAAATGTCCACATTACCTTAAGGGTTCCCCGGTATCCTTCAGATCACTGAATATAATCTAACGTGTTTTAGCTTTACAAATATCCGATACTATTAAAATAACAAATGTATAAAAAATGATTACATCAAAAACAAACTCAATTTCACAATAATGTGTGTGTCAATAATGTCATTTTAGTAGGGTTTACAGTGTCAATAAAGCAGAGCTCATTTTTAAAATGAAACATGAGTCATCTTCCCTTTGCTAAGAATGTGATTTCAGACGAAGCAGGCTTGATGGTTGATAGTTATCCATCCTGCACATCTGAATTCTCTTCCATCTCCCCTGCTCTCTGTCTGACAGCAATACGACTACGACAGCAGCACCATCAGGAAGAAGATCTTCCAGGAGGCTCTGGTGGAGATCACATTGCCTACAATACGGAAGACTCTGGCTCCCAGCTGCAAACCAGTAAGTGATCCATTATTCACTTTCCTGTCCACTACCCACAATCAAACAGGCTTCCACAGAATCACATTTTCAGTCAATCTGAAGGCTGATCTAGTAATTCCACTTTGAAGGCAAGGTGCTGGCCATACTTCTCATTGAAGCAAACATATCATCATAGTTCCAATTAAAACAAACACCTTCCTCCAACAGGTGCAGTTTATTTTTTACTTGAACAGCTCTATGCATGAGACAAGGGCTTTTGAAGATTTATTCTGTCATTTAAATGACAGGCATAATAATATACATCATAGATGTAATGCAAGATAAAGTCAAGAAGCTGCCCTCAGTGGGCCAAAAGACAACCCTGGCCACACAAATACATAGACATACAGTATCTTGAATTACAGTGATATGGAAACTCTGTCATGACTAAAAGAAACATCAAACAAATAACTACAACTATGTTTCTATATTCTGCACAAATCTGTTTTGTATTGATTTTTAGGAGCTTCAGAAATTTGACCAGTACATCTTTGCTGATTATGCTAACTTTGTACAAGTGGAAAATGTCTATGAAGAAATCCTGTTGGAGGTCCTAGAGAGAGAAGTCAGCAAAGGTGAGCTGTCTGCTAATGTCATGCCTAGAAAACAAATACATTTGTTTTTTGGAACACATTTGCTACTTTTTTTTCTGTGTGCAAATTCTTCTTCAGCTTTACTACACTATTAACTTTTAGAAAGTCTTTTTCTGGATAATCTTTAATGCCTACACTTACAATCCAAAGTGAAATGAAAGTGGTGCGCTTAGGTTCTTCCCTGCAATGAAAAAGAATGAAGCATTTTCTTCTTTTTGTTTCTGGGGCCATTTCACACAGTGGTGAAGGAAGCTGCGAGTGCAAAGAAGCACAACCTGTTTGTAGACAGCATGGATCTCCCCTGCGTGAGCCAATCCAGTTTGACTGACAGCAAGACCCCACCAGGATCCACCCCCGCTAGTCCAGCCAAGCAAGCAACAGCAAAAGAAACTCCAGCCCCTCAGCCTCAGGGTAACGGGATACACGAGTGCTTGGACCAGCCAGACACATCAAGCGTGTCTGTGGCAGAGAAGAAGGAAAATGGTTCTACGATCAGAATGCAGACTGACACAGCGGTACCTAGCTTGGACACAGGCAGCAAGGAGTCCTTTGCTAACAGTGTGGCAGCGCTCAGCCTTAACCCTGCCAAGGAGGAATCTCCAGCTAATTTCACCCCATCACCGATGGGTGCTGTCGCTGACAGCACAGGTCTACTCACGATCGGCACAGACCACGCGGTTAAAGAAAGAGACGAGAAAGCGGAGGAGAAGTCAGGCGAAGAGACTGTGCTCGCAGAGACGCAGGCTCCCGACAGCCTCCACGAAATTCGAAATCTGATGGCTGGACAAGGAGAGCTGGTGGAAGAGGAGTGAGACTGTCATGCCCACAGCACAGAGAAACCGCACAACAAACCCTCTGACAGCCAACAGAATCAGATCGCCCAAGGAGCAGAGGATAACTGCAGCATCAGCCAGCGATGTACATTTTCAACTTGAAACTTCGATATTAAATGAAAAGGACAGTATGATGATCACACAGTAATGGTTTAAGACACCATTTATTAATAACTGTATGTTGATTTAACCAAGTTCAGGATACTCGAATTGAAGTGTAAGATATTTCTCACACAGTTGCATTTAATGGAATTTGATGTCTAAATCCTTTCTTAGAGGTGCTAACTAGGACAATTGCAAGTAGTACAAGTTATTGCAAAGAAGAAATTTCACAAATTATTTAACAGCATCACTTACCTGATAAAACTGATCGAAACCTCATCCTCGACATTGAATTTTTCTAACTCTTAACTGAATTTGGCCTTAGCAAAGTAACATAAGCATTTTAATGACTGTTGCCTTCATAAAGACTATATAGAAGACTATATATATCAGTGCCTTCATATAGAACTATAAAATGCTAAAGCAAACCCAAAAGGGTTTTACATTTGAAACAAGGTAGATATGTAATGGTTAATTACTCCAATTAAAATGTGCAAATCCCTCATTTAAGACACAAGGCTTGCTTGTACACATAGTTGACAGGTTTAAAATGAAATCGTTCTAGATAATGCATTTGACAGATAATTACTAAGTCATGTAGTTTTAAAGGTCGCTATTTTCATAATTCTACTTGTTCTCTGTATACAGTTTAACATATAATTGTCATTCTGACAGACCTCTATATTTGACATATACTCTTCTGTCATAAACTGATGCATTAGCAGTTATTAACATAGATGCAGGCTTTGCATATTGCTGTGGTATAGTTACAATATAAATTTTTACTTTGTTGTGACTTGCACAGGTTAACAGAAATATTACAGTACACAGGGCTTTTCCATCTTTTCAATTACTGACTAAAAAGTACTGTACCACAAGCAATTTTCCTTGAATGCTAGGCAACACTGTCAAAATGGGGACAACCACCCTATTTTTTTCTAAAATGTTAAGTTATTGATATATAGGATCGCAGAGAAAGTGGAAAAAGTTAAGTATACATTATTTACTATATAGTTGTACATGCCCTCCAGTCTTTTCCTAGTTGTTCAGAGCCTAATAGCTATCATATAAGCAGCATATTTCTTACATTGCCATAACCTGTTTTCTATGTAGTGATACATTATGTGGCAGTATGTCAATACAGTAGTTGTATTTAAATTACCCAAATTCAGAGTGATGAGTTTTGCAGTCTTTCTAAGTAATTGAATAGAAAACCACAAAATACTTGCTTTATCAAGTAATTTGCTGGTTACAAATACAATGAAAAAAGATTCACACACAGTTGCAAGCTAGTATCATTAACGTGCAATTATTAATCTCTGAACAATGTTCTAAACCTTTAGAACAGCAGATGATCTTGGACCACTGATTTCTGAAACATTCCATGACTGAATAATAAAACTACAAAAAAGGACATTTTTTTACAAAAACACTGAGAAGCTATAAACACATATTTACTAGAGGCCTTTTCTGGATTCGTAGAGGGTTAAAGTCGGAGTGTTGCTTGATGATAGAGGATTGTTAAAAAGTGAACTATGGCTTTCAGATACTGGCTATTACATTCGCTGGCAGAGCGATTAAAAGAAGATTCGCAACAAACAATTGATCACACCTTTAATCTAAATATTTTAACTATTGCAATTCTTATTGTTTTTTTAGTTATCAATAGAACCATTGTCAATTATTGCCCCCACCTGGTTTTCTGTTTAAAATGATGGATAATTCTTCATGTTAATGGTCAAACTGGACCTTAAGTTAAACCACAAATAAAGAAGAGTCTTTTTACAGAAGTAAGTTGTGCTGATTAACAAAGCATGAAGTAAATTATAAGCTCTTTCTATGTGGTCTATTAAAATAACCAACACTAAGTTACTAACTGCATAATGTAAATATAGGAAAAAATGATATACAAAGATTGGTTTTGATATACACCCAGTTTAAGTTACATTACTCTAGATGAAGGAATTATTTGAATTATCTAAAGATTGTCAAAGGTGATGACTGACTTAAGAAACTCTCAATTTATTGTAAAGCTCTTATAGTACAATGTATAATAAAATATTAAACCTTAAGAGGGAGTAGTCCTTTTAATCTTCTGTAGTTTCACATGAAACTGTGAAACTCATTTGTTATTGATCTGACAAAACTCATGTGACATCTGTCAATTTCTATTGCCATTTCTTATCTGTTTTGTTCAGCTATGTTCTCCAAGTGGTAAATTCTGTAAAAATTAAGTTGCTTCTCCAAAATTCCATGTTTGGTTTTAAAAACATCATTTTGATTCAGTCAGGATTAAAATGTAAAACCAGAAAAAGCAAAAACAATTGTCAGAAGTAAATGTGTACATCTTCAAGTCCTTAAAAAACAATTACAACTATTGCACATTCAATTTATTCACACTCATCCAAATGAATGAACTTATCAAAACACAGGGATCAGAAGTTATATACTGACCTACTGTATACCTACTGTAGACCCACAAATACAATAGTCCATACAAAAGAAATATGTTAAGGACTGTTGTTTATACACTTTTTCACACAGCCCTTACAAGTAAATCAAATAAACAGCAATGGTTAAACTCATATAAAAATAATCTTAAAAGTAAACAATCTTGTTAACCAGTAACAAAAGTGAAAATGAAAGCAACGGCACAGTCCTGTAAAAAAATGTAGTGCCTGTTCCCCGTTCTTACCAAAAACAAGGAGTGCCCTTTCACCTCCTCACAGTTAAACTTTGTAATTCTGAGAAAAAAACATTCATGACAGATGGTCACACTGGGGAAGAATTGCTACACAGTGTTATCACAATTTACACGTATAACAGAATTTAAAAATCTTACAAGCACACTTCATGCAGAAATGCTGGGTTAAGCCTAGTGTCAAATGGAAAGTGCCACCAAAATACTTTTTAAGCAAAATCTATTTTTCCTATTTTGATGAATGTTATTTAAATGCTGTATGATAAGCAGAGTTACCAATTACCATCTGAAGATACAATGACTAAAAGCAAATTAAGATTCATTTATTGACAAAAATACTTTTTCATGGAGTTTCTAAAGGACAATGTACTTTTCTTTTAGCATTGTCCTATACTGTTTCTATGCCTTTACCATTTTTAACAAACATATACGCTTAAACATACAAGCATTATGAATCATTTAATAAATATACCACAATAACACCTATTAGCAATGCAATTAGAAATGCACTGGTTCCCAGCAGATAATCTTTCCAGTTTCCAGCTTTCTTATCAGGCCAATGGTTCAGCTATCAACCAATGATATGGTTGAAATATCACTGGAAAGGATAACATCCTTGAAGGGAAAATATTGGAATGTCCTTTATTTGGGAACCACTGACTTAGTGTATCAGATCTGTAGGTGTCTGAGATCAGGTTATTATTAGTGTAGCAAAGTGAAAAACGTTCATGCAGCTGTACAGTGTCCACTCAATTTATCTGGACCCGTATCCATAGTAAAATTGCTCATCTGGACGATATCCGTATGCTGTAGCAGGGCGCCCTGGAACAGCGGCTGTCTGGCCAAATCCATCCACACCCGCACTACGAAAAAAAATAACATTCGTTAAAATTTACACCATTATAGGCTCCTGAGGAAAGGTTAAAAACACATGTATGACGTATACTCAGCCCAACTCCAACAGGTCCACAATCCTTTCCCCTTTAATGTGATCTTATTATGGATTATAAACATTATATCATACACTAAATTTACATTAAAACCAACATTTACACCAGACGTTTATTTCGAATTTTTTGAATTCCAAAATCAAATATTTTGAAATTTGAAAGCAGTTTTACAGTGATCTTAAGAAGAGAATAAACACATAAGATTTCGCAACTGATGTTTAAAACTACAGATCTCAGGCTAAAGCATCTCTAGACTGGAATTGTCATTGGAACGGTTGTTTCTCATCATTAAGTTAAAATATAGGAGCTGTTCACTCTGACACCACTAGGTGGAGACACACAATAGGTTTTGGTGTGTTATTGTACAGTATGTCCAGATTTATGCTTGAAGGCCTTAGCTGAAGCTTTTTGGACAATTATTAAAGGTGCAGCAATTCCAATTTGGCACAAAAAAGGACATAGCTTTCAAACCCCACCTTTCATCTTTTCCCTCAAATAAATGTAAGTTATGCTTTTCCCCTCATGTATTTTAAAGACTGTAATATTTTGGTGATTGAGCAGTTTTGGCCCCTTTTCCTTAAAGGAGTTAGACCAGCCTTTCTTCCAAACTGCAAATCCAAAATGCATTTTTTCTGAATCAGGTTTTAACGCAGTCATTTCATATACATATAACATTTAGCCAAACAGAGCAATTGCTTTTAAAACCAACACAAAATTAATACCACAGAAATCAATTGATGTCATAACATGTCAATAGAACACATCTCCATCAAAGATATTAGGGATGGCTTGTGTATTTATATTTTGAAGTATTACTCTCTACTGATACTGAAGACCAGAGGCCCTGTAGGTTGATCATCAATACAATATAAAATCTGGAATCAGATATCAATTGGTCTGAACCAATCTACATATAAGGATCACCTTAAAATTGCAAATCTCTTGGTTTGCCACCATCAGGAATATTTTAAGCAGTGATTTAACCAAAATTATGTAGCCATCCTGAGTTTCCACAAGTTACCACTTTGAAAAGAACACAGACTTTTGGGACCACATTACAATCCCATTAAACAGCTTAGAGAAAATGAGTGAGGGAGATTGATAAACTGTTTTTTTCTCAAGTTTAAATTGTAGCCTTTGGTTAGGACCAATAACCTTTAAAATATGAGCTGTTTGCTTTACCCCTACGCGCTTACATAATGACTTGTTGTTTTTAGCTGAAATCACTTCCAGCAATCTGTTACACACCGCCTTTTCAAATGCACCGTTCATGGGGCAGAAAATGTTTCTTTTTCCTATCGGCCTGCCAGTGCTGTCAAAACAAATTTCATTTTAAACTAAAAAGCTCTTATACTTCAAACCCTCTACATTACAAGGGCTGCTTGTGTGATCTATGACCTTCCAAATGTGACAGCTGAAGACTTCAACTGGCTGGAGGCTCCCTGGGATGGGACAGCACATTTGAGACCATGTCATCCTAACAAGAACTGCGGCTGTCCTATCCAGGGCTCAGGGGAACCATGACTTTAGTCACGCACAGACGAATCTGATCCAGATCTTTCACGAACATCACTGTTCAAAAATGAAGAACCAGGCAAAAAGGGAATTCCCTTTATCCAAAAGCATGCAGTTCAGGGTTTAAAAGGACGATGGTCTGTTTTAAACATGAGAAATCTTCATAAACAGGAAGATATTTGTAATGGAAACACATACATCAAATGAATATAGTAATGACATCAGAATGCCAAATAAGAGAAGAACCAATTTAGAAAAGAAAAGCAGAATTAACACTTCAGTTGTCTAATAAATGTGAATTAAAAGAAAGAAAACTTTTAAAACAAGGTTTTAAACTTTTAAACAGGCCAACATGCAACTGGCTCAAATACTAATTTCTTGCATTTTTAATGCCACTCAGTGCATCAAACAACCACTGCAAAATCACTGGATATTACATGTCAAAATGATTAAGGGACTTCCATATCTGTAATATTAGTCTAAAAAAATCAAAACAATACTAACTCTCTGGCTTATAAATGTCTAGGATCTAAAGTTTTAAGATTCTCAAGCAATTAATATGTCACCCCATTTTGCAAAGCGGCTCCAAAATCAATGGAGACCAAAGGTCAAAAAAAAAAAAGAGATCCAGTGTCTAGGTATAGCAATGTGGCTCAGTGACACTGGGGTGAAAGCCCATAAAAACGCAATGGAACTTTAACTAGACTTTGTTTTACTGTGCTGAAGTGGGCTTTTGCACAGGAAACATTCAGCGGTTTTACTTGTTCTCCGTCCTGTGGCTTTGATCTCGCTTTCTCTCTCTGTCACTTCTCAGGTTACACACCCTCGTTTTATAGCACTAAATCAACAGCAGGCGTTTTAGTTTGAACTGATTACACTTTTTTTGGGGGAAATGTTCTGCTTCATAGTTCAGTTTAAGCAACACTGTCACAATTTGAAAAGGGCTGCTTTCAAAGCTACATTGATTTCAGGGAAAATGTTGAAAAACAAATCTTACGGAACTTTTCTCGATAACTACCTTAATTTAATACAACAGCTAGAAACCATAGTACTGTATTACTGCCATTAGGTTTTATGCTCTACAATATGACAGCACAGGCTGGTTCACTCAGTCCATATATCCCCTTTTACCCTCTTGGTTCTTTGGCAAAATAAAGAACCAGACATACAAAATAAAATTTCTGCAAAGGTTTGCATTATTCACATGCCATAACTGTTAAGTGATATGCAGGGTGGCCATTAAGAACTGGACACCTACAGACAGACAGGGGGTTTAAAGTTGCTCAGAAACTGAAAGTAAACAATAAGTAAAATTAGCACTAGAACTCTGCTGAATAATAATTATGTGTCAACTGTGATATCAGTTTACAAAGTTCAGAAAATATACTGCATTTTGCATATTGAATTATTAATTTTTAGTGTGCATTACTTAACATTTTCATTATCTGATGAATAATAAACTACAGTCGTAATTTGCAGTGACCCTCCCCATCAAATACTTTCAGAACTAGCGCAGCTTGTGAAGTGGTGCTTTTCCTGGAATCTAAAGGCTATCCCAGTGGTAGGGCATTCACTTACAGTTTCTGGATCAGAATAATAAATGCAATGGTTACTTCTGTTTATCCTGAAGCAGATGTGGTGAGTAGATTTTCAAGGACGTTTGAGCATGCAGCCAATCTCATTTGTTTTTAGAGTTAAGTCCACTTATTGAATTAGACATGCACCTTCAATTTGAATTATTCATAAAAATAGACTCTTCCTTTGAAGAGCCTAGCATTCAAATGAATAATTATGTTTTGGGAGGAGCAGAAAAATAAGCATGACCTTAAGCACCCAAAGAAGCTCATTCAATTCTAAAATTCAATTTAAATGGATAATCAATATTTGTACTTATTTAATAAATAATACTCTGCTCCTATAAAGGACTCATTGTAGAAGAAGCAGAACAGAGTAGTAGTCTGGGGTTCTAACTGCAAGGCTTTGGGTTCAAGTCCCTGCAACAGAAACTGCTGTAGTAGCTTGCTCACATTAGATAACATGTATGGAAAACATACATGTTTATCCATATTGCTCCAGCAATGATTAAAACAAAATGATTCTGCACATCTCTATTAATGTGAACCAGAATTCCTGTTACGGACTGAATCCGATCCAGTGGATTCAGGACTTCTAAACGCTAGAGAAACTGTAGTGATCCCAGGCCCGATGAGCCTCTAGACTTAAGCAGTGACTTCACCATTGTTTACCATTTTACAAACCTTAATTTTTAACTATTCAGAAACATGTAAATCTGCTGCTCTTATGTTGTCCAAAATAGCACACACAAATGCAATGGCACTGACACCATCACCATCACCAGAAAGTAAAAAGCAGTATTTTCACATAAACTGAAAGAGCTGGTAAGAGGTTCAAATATAAATGTTCTTTACCGTGATTTAGTAAGAGCAAATTAGCATTTTTTTGCTCTTACTGCTTACTGCTGGATGGAGCTTGCTAAACATATTCAACCTCATCATCACTGCTACTCATCGCTTAGTAGACACAACAGACTAATCCTACCTCATTTGCCTTGCATGTGTGGTTGAAACTATTCATTTTTGGCTAGGCTTGTATTCTTGTCCTGTCTTGGAGCTGGATGACAGCTCATTTCTTGATAGTATATGTAAAGCTATGGTCACCGCATCCAAATAGAATCCGTCAACTATCATTACTCTTCACTCAAACAGAGAAGTTTGTAGATTTGGAGATCAGTGACATGTGGCATGTCCAAAAACATAATGAAAAATGCACTTAGAAATCAGTAGTGTGTGTGTCTGTCCTAAATCTCTAAAAAAAAAAACTCAAACAGAATGAAAAAGGCACAAGATTAAATACAGTAAGATCTATTCTGATCTACATTCTTTAATCTGTTATTTTAAGTTGACCTAGACAAAAAAAAAAGATTGAATGTTTGTCTCAAAGGCCATGATTAAACAGAAGGGGAAAAAGTAACTTTCTGTGAGACACCAATGCAGCATGATTGGGCCAAACATTAAAAACCAATAGAGATGACCAGAACACTTTAATTACATTTACAGAGCCAGTAAGGTTTTGCAAAAAATGTTAAAAGTGAAAAGTGAAGTTTTAGCCATTCCCCAAAACTCAAAAACAAAATAGATTGCCACGAATGTTGTTGCAAACAACCATGCATCTTTTTGTATATTAAGCATAGTCCAATACAGCTATAATGTACACTTTAGGTTGTTATTACTCTTTTAAAATAATGAAGAAACCCTGGCTTTAAAATCAAAGAATACTTCTTAAACGATCCATTAGTAGGTCTCCACAGAGTGCTGTATAATATACAGGCAGGCAGTAATGTACTCCAGATGTAATTACCTGCTCGTGAAGGGATGCTGTCCCACCATGTCTCCATTCTGTACGTGAAAGTCATTGAAGAATTCAGGGCTGATTACACCATCAGAAGGAATTATTCCATCTAGGTCAAAGAATTGTTTTAAACAACTGAGATGCATATGAAGTTAAGATTTCTAATACAGAACGTCATAAATTCATAATTAAATTGCACAGGGGGATCCTGGTAGTGGGCAGCTATACACTTTTTACAAATTACAGATCACTAGATATTTAGCCCCATCATAATAATAACAACCTTGAATCTAAAAATATAGAAATCCTTTATCTGAACACATATTTTTCAAACTGAAATCAGTTACTCTTAATCTAACACTATTACATTGTTCAGCTCTAACCCTAACTTCACCCTAATAAACCTTAAAACAAAATAACTCTAATCCTATTTCTAACCCCTTCCCACAAATAATCCATCACTTAACCAATCCACTTTAATGCTAACCTTAGCTTTGTTTAACTGCTCTTTCCTTCATTAATCCTTTAATCATCATTAATCTATTAATAACTGATAGCTGCTATCAATATAACGCACTACAGATATTCTAACCTAATCTTAGCAAAATGCATGACCACTCATAATCATAGATAATCATAACCACAAGCCTCAGTGAGCAAAATCACAGTCCTGTCCTGGGAGTTTCTAGTCCTGATCCGAACCCAGCTGCTCAACCTTCTGAGACTGCTTCTTTAAAATAATACCCTCTCTTAGTCTCTAACAGCAATGAAGATCTCCGTTACCAGCACTGTAGAAAAGATCAGGCCTCTCCAAGATGTCGTTCTCATGGATGAAAGGCTCAATGCCATCATCTCCGTACATGAAGGGCTCAGCTTCATCCATCTGTCGGTTTTCCACCATTTCCAGCCACTGGGAGTTGTGCCAGCGGAATTTCTCACTCTGAATTTTCTTGGCCCACTCCTCATCATACTCCTAAAGAGAGCAGGGTGCAAAGTGAGGCACTGACATTTGCTCCTCCAGTAAACTGGCTTTTATAGAATCTGAAAGCAAAGGCCACCTGTTTATATATCGTACAAAAGGAGGTTTATGAATTAGGCATAATCCCAGAAATAAATAGAATAAAATGATATGTTGCAATCTGAAATTCAAATAAGGAATTTTTACAGGTTTTCACAGAAAAAACACAAGACCTATCTGGAATAAACAGGCTCTCAACCATTCCAGGAGCAGCTGATGTATGTGCAAGGGAAGAATGCAAGGATTGGCAGACAAGCTTCTTCGACACACCTGTGTGAAAGAGCCATTCATCTTCTGAGTTGAAGCCACTGCTTGAGGAGTCCTGGTCATAGTCAGCTGGTGACATGACCCAGACTTGAACCAATAACATCTGGGCTCAACTTGGGCTCTGAATGAGTGCTTTGGCTGGTGGGAGCCCCGTAATAATATTAAAAAAAACCTGAAATAACACCTTTAAAAATATCCAGAATCTAAAATGTGGATATGCTTGTTTTGGTGATGCAGATTGGTATGTTAGTATGTGAGTTGGTAAGGCCCACTGAATTTTCCCAAAGCTTCAGGCTGCTTCTCAAAATCACCACACTAACCCTGAAATATCACAGCCTCTCTTGCTGTTGAAACCTGCTGAAGCCCCAGTCTGTCACCATGCAGTCTCCTACATTGATTTCAAGCCCCAAGCTAGGCCAACGACAACATTCAGTGACCAACATGGGATGTGATTTACCGCTGTGAACTACGATTGAATTTAGTGGCTTCAAAGAGAGAGTATTTGCTTTCAGACATGTCAGCTGTGCTGAGGGAGGTCACAGTGGAGGACTGGGCAGGGCATGAGAGCCCAGCCCCTCTCAACGGGGTATCACTGCAGGAAGAGCGCTCAACAGTGGACCTTTCGCTAGGCCACAGTGCACTGCTGTGTTTCAGCTGCAACACAACTGCGTATGAAAATATGAATTAATCAGATGTGTTATGTGTAGCTTGGCTGAGAAAATGTGTTGTTTTCTTTTCTCTCCAGCACATGGCAGATAAAGCCTTTCTTTCAGCTGCCCCTGTGTTGTGAATGCTTTGCTACTGATTAATCATTGAGACAGAGAGCAGGGCCCAAGAGCAATGACAAGCAAGGCAAGCTATAACTGAAACAGCTACATTGTTAAAGGGCTCACTGCCATAAAATTGGTAATGACATTTTGGTCAATATATGAAATGCTAACAAAATAATAACTATATATCAAAACTTTGTCTGCAAATCCCAACTACCTCTTAATAATCACCTTCACAGCTGAGTTAAACAAGAAGAATCAACATTCTCCTTATAAATGGATTCCCGAAATTGTGAAATTCAAGTTCTCACCAAACATTAATACTTAAAACAAGTAATTTTCTAAAATAATATTAAGTATAAAAAAAGGTTTGCGGCAATTGTTATGTATGAGAAGAATATTTTTAAGGGTACCTTATTGCGGAAACAATACTGATTAGTACAGTATGAAACCTAAGAAAATGAGGTTACACACAAACATTATGGCTAGTTATTTTTCTTGTCGTTTGTGGCTACAAAAATCATTTTAAGAATAAGAAAACAAACAGATCCTGCTATCACTGAATTCACTTTCAGCGGTTGCTGGATTTAATCAAGATGTGTACATAGCCAGCACATTGCAGGATAATGGACAACTACAGGTCTGCTTTCTGTTCTGCCATAGTTGATAAAAAACAGACTCCTATCTCACTTTAATGTGGTTACAGCTTATTAAGCTTACTAATAAATTCAATTAGAAACTTCCCCATACAAAGCTGGTATATTTAATTTAGCACTAGTTATCTGCTGTCAATGATAAAACGATGTTTGTCATTTTACGATTTGTGGTTAGCACACACCTAACAAAAAATAATCTAATTTTAAGACGCAATTGTTACTGCAAGTAGCAAGTCCTCAACTGAAAGGGTGTTAATCTTCTAGTTAAGGAAGTATTTAGTGTTGCAGATACAAAGTATGGTAATTAAACATGCCACAAACAATAATTCAGAGATTCTGAGAAGAAAGTGATTACAATAGAAAAAAAAAAGGTACACATCAAGACCGTGATCTATGAAGAATCCACATTAAATTGACAAAGGATACATCTTGCTACGTCTAAATATAAAAAGGGAACTAAGATAATCTAATTAATGTACCAAGCTTTTAGTTAAGTGCACTATTTTGTAAAAAGTTTGTGATTAAGGCAAGGTTGTATTATTCTAAGCCATCCGCATTTGTGCTATAACCATTCTAAATATCGCTACAAAGAGAAAGATGATACTCACATCAAAGCTGAACATGATCACAGTTTTATAAAATACTAAACCCTTGCACAAAGAGAAAGCAGATGTTTACTTTGTTAGAGTACGATCATTACCGCAATGATGTCCAGTGTGTTATCACAGACTTTTCTTATTTCTGCATTCTTGTCGTGCATCAGGTCAATGAGATAGGCTGGAGCTTCTGAGATAGAGTTAAAGAAAGGACGGCAAGTTGCTGTGGCTCACAAGCTAGGATGACACATTTAAAAACACACTTCAACAGAGACAGTCCCCAGCATTACATGTAGTAATTAAAAAAATAAAAGACCTGCAGAGAGACTTTGTAACGTAAAATTAACCACTCTTGGCTCTAATAGATAAAACTTGATCAAATTAGCTTAAAGCAAGAGTTAATGGGTGACCTCAGTAATCAGGGCAAATGAAAACACATCCGATCACCCACCTCATCCACTTAAAAAAATTGCAACTGATATTATCATGTTACAAGCACACATTGGGGTCTTTCCCATTTAACTGTCTATTTACATATTTTTGGCTAAGAAAAAGGATACGGGTTTCTTTTATGATAACGTCTCTGGTTGCCTGATGAAACACCATCTGGTAGAAAACGTAGACAATCTGACAAACAAATTCATCATCTTCCTGTTCCGCTGCAAAAGAAAGTAAAAAAAAAACAACAAAAAAATTATACCAAAATACAGATGGAAAAATATTTGCCCCAAAAGTTATAATTTATATATAGGAACGCAAAATTTAAATTGAAAATTTCAGTATAGTATCTCATGGCTCTCTTTATGAGCTTCATTCAAATCTTAATTTTAATTATTTTTTATTTCTATTTGTAATATTAAAGGTTCATTTACTATGTTTTATACATTTAGAGGATGTTCTGGGATTGTAATTTTCATTACTAACAATGCAGCCTACTAGGTATTTTGAAGTGTTAATAATCCAATCAAAATTCTTTGGCTGAATTTTAATACAAATTTGATTCATACTTACGGAGTGTACACTTAGTTTTGATGCGTACTTGAAGAATAATTTAGACACCAGTAACAGCTCACAAAATCATCCACAATGTAAAAGGAGAAGGCAGAGATAATGTTGAGGCTATTATAATTTTTAATAAATGGCATAAGTGTACACAATTCATTTAAAACTAACTTCTTAACACATAGGTATCGGTTTCACCAAGTCTAAAAGGAATACACAGTATATGAAAAATGGTGCAGAGCCACAAATCTTTCTAAATCCAGGCTTTTATTTTCCTTTTCTTCCAGCTCATTTTAACCATGCCTCCTGGGAAGCAAAAGTCTTATGAAGATAACAATGCAACACAAATTTGGCTTTCACCCACAGCTATGAAATAAAATAGTTTACAGACTGTATTTAGAATTGCTGCAAAATCAAACCAAAAAATTGTTTTTTAAAGATATTATAAATGGCTTTTTTTTCTGAGCTGATTTTCATCACGTAAAACCATGCCAATTTCCTTCCTGGGATATTTAACATCTGCATTATTGGAAGCACACACAAATATTCAGTAATGTTGTAAAGGAGGTGGGAAAATCTAACTTTTCAAGATTCTCATGTGCTGTGGGAAATATTATTTATGTACTTATAGACTTTTCAAGCTTTCCATTAATTATTTTGGTCAGGTATCTCTGTTTTCTAGTATGACTGAGAAAACAAAACGTTTTTTGAAATTTTGAAAGTTTGTAATTCAGTTTTTCAAGGAATATTCAATTAAATTCTCATTCCTGGTTATTTTTCTCTAATCATCAAGTTAATGCAGTTAAATAAAACAGACAAGTTGAATGCTGCTGTGTGTAAGAACTACATCTATTAGACTGTATGTCAACAGAAAAGTCACCTGAAAATCAATACATGACCCATATTTTTGCTTGAACTTTTTTGACTTTCATATTAAATTCTAGTTAATATTTTAAAAATCTATTTTGAATAACATTTGTATACAAGGCAGTATAGCCTTTGCCAACATGGTTCAGACTATGTACATTTTTATGGAATATCTTTTAAATTTTAAAACTGAATTACAAAACAGATAGATGGAAGAGAGATGGAAGAAAAAGAGCATTGGGTGTTCTTGAACTCCATACTTCACTTGAAAACATTCGCTCACACAACCTTAGTCTTCCAACCAACTCAGATGATGCTTGGTTCACTAGGCATTTCTAAATCATATCCTAGAGCTAAGTTTTTTTCAAGGAGACTGTAATGCTGAATCTAATAGAGTTAATTAAGTGAGTGAAACCTGCTTAGTTCACCAACCAGAAGACAAAACAGACATGAGCTGAGCTGCTTGACCTAATGGCTAAAATGGGTGACCTACCATTAAGCAGTTCAATGAGTGCTGGAATGATTCCAGATTTTGCTAGCATAGCTGCACAAGAGTCATCCATTGAAACTGTCCCAATCATTATCACCACCTCTAGGATCAGGTCATCCTCTGCAGAGCCTGAGAAAAATGCAGAGGAAGAACAGAGGTTTGATACTTAACATCTCAATTCCAATGAAGCATTTGCAATTGGAAGATGGTGCAGCAGAATTGTGTTTACCAGGTTTGAGGCGGTCCTTCAGATAGGGAACCAGGTTGTACTCCTTCAGCACCAGCTCCCAGTCCAAGTCTGGGATGGTCAGGTTAGCCAAAGTCCCCAGGCATTCAATCACAAATTCCTCCTCTTCATCTGGACTAATCTGTGCTGCCAGGTCACCCACATAGTCCTAGAAAACAAGTCAATTAAAAAGTGGACTTCATTAGCCTAAATATGATCATTTACAGAAATATCAGTGACAGTGCTCTGAGGTAGCACTCATCAATTTAACCAAAGCATTGGCAAAGATGGAAGAGAAACCTTCATGTAAATAAATTCATGTTCATTCAATTCATAAAAAGGAAGGACATTGAAGCAAAAATGTGCTTACAATAAACAAATTCTTAGTGGGACCATCATGCTGAGAGATATTTCTGATCATTTTCATCAGAAGTGGATCTTTTAACTTCAGTGCCCTTTTCATTAGCATCTTCAAACCATTGCCTTAAAAACAAAGAAAGGGTGATTATGTGATTCATCTTAACTGGTCTCATTAAAAAATAAATCGTGTCTAGCACAACTTTTACCTTCACAGATCAGCTGTGCATTTCTCTTGTTGGCTGCCAGGTTAATACAAAATGAAATTAGTTCTGCTTCCATTCGCTCTTCGGCACATTCAAACAACATCTTCATCAGCTGGCAGGAAAGAAATATTGATCATGTCTGAACTGAAAACGATTCCAATACAGATTACCAATGTCGTCCTATATTAGAAATGGGACAAGCAAACAATGACTAATTTACAAATAGGAATGATCAGTTCTTTTCTAAAGCCTTGAAGATTCATTACAGTGCATTTCAAGTGCTCTCTGCAGATCACACAGTGTGTTCTCAAATGAACTACAGAGTAATTTGGATTTTCAAATATCTACATTAGGAAACACATTACAAAATACTTAATATTTAAATTTTAACTCTTTAGCCATCAATTGTTATCTTGTGATATATGTACAGTATAAAGCACTTACGTTATGCATTTATTAATCACAGGAACTGTTTTTGTCATTTCAATTTAAATTAACATTCAGTCTCTTAAGTCATTAAAACCAATGGTCTACCATTAAAACCAAATGTCTAATGCATATAGTAACATTACTGAAAATTAGCATGGCAACATTTAACTGTCGATAATTGTTAACAGCTCGATAACCGAATAGTGTTAAAAAACACCAGAAATTTCATATGTTTTACAGTTAATTTATATTTAAGAAAAAATGCTTATTATTACTATTGCTTGCAGTTTTTAATAAATCAGCCACTTTATCACAATAACTGGCACGAGACATTTCATGAATAAAATGTCAATGCACTGCTCTCTGGAATGGAAAATGGCTCACTAAAGAGGAAAAGTCTCCAAAGGTAAAACTTTTTAAATGCCCACTTGTAATTTGTAAATTTCTCTAAGATTCAAAGATTAGTGATTTGAAACAGTATCCTGCAGTCAAGTCAAATCAAGTCAACACGTCCAAAGAACTGGATCCGAGCAGTAACCCCTTGGCTGCTACCTATGGTGAAAACCAAAGCAATCACAAAATCACGCAGGAAATATAAAAAAACGGTCCAGCTCTAAATAACAGTCATCGTCATCGTTCGCTGATTTAACATTAAACAGGAAAGCATTAAAAGGCTGAGCGGGTTGTGAAGAGGCAGCAGTGTGCAATCAGACAAGTCCCATATTGAGTATCAGATACCATAGTCCCAGGACTGAAATCACCGCGTCTAGACTCTCTGGCACCTGACTTTACTTATTTACCAGCGACCAGAGGCCAACCCCCCCACTCCTCCCTCATTGCACACACCTCTCTCCCTCTCTATCATCTTTGAATGATTATGGCAGGACCTTTCTGTTCTTAAGGAATTTGTCCCCATGACCAACTACTCCCCAGCTCTGCTGTTTGATCTGCTGCTCTGCTCTACAAACTCCTGCAGATAGCTGGACACGAAGACGGAGGCTGTCATGAGGGAGGAGAGGCAGGCAGCATATCTTCAAAGGCATCAGCCTGCAGATCAAAGAGTATCTTGGTCCAAGCAAGACTGGAGCAGTACCTGGGGAGCTATGAACTGCCAGCTCGCTGGTTTTCGGCAAAACTTGTATTGAATATCATAATGACATCAGGAGTTAGCCATTCACGTTCATTGGTTACGTTATTAACAATAAAATTCTTTTTATGAGCATCTGGATGGCATTTTCACCTAATTAAACAAAACACGCATTTTAAAGATCCCAACAATGAACAATGTTGTTTCTTTGAAATCACTACCAGACAAACAATCTTAACCCCATGACCCTGCAGTCCTAATTGGTGCCGATCAGGCAATTGACTTGGCTTCGGATATATCATTAGCTGGAAGTGACTGGATGGAGAACACTTTTCATACTCTCTCTGTATTTCTCACTAAATTCCATCAAGAATCCGGTTACAAATGCCTCTTGTTCCGAGATTTCCGATTTTTCATGTAAATATGTTTTATACTCAAACCTATGGGATGGGTATACTGCTATGTTTTGAATACTTAAAAATTGTATTACAAAATTACAAAACAGTGAGTTTTGTTCCAGAATCTTTTAACACCTTAAAACCAACTATTGTGACTGCAATTCAAATTTGAAAAACACTGTAAAAAGGAGCAAAATACAGTTAAAAAATCAACTTGAAAGCTGATCAATTGATATAAATCACATATATACTGTAAAAATAAGTTGTTAAAATTGGTAGGCAGCAAAAGAAAGTGAATAAAATGCCAAGGTTTCTAGTGAGATGAAGACTAAAGTGATCATGTCATACAAATTAGATATAAGGCACTTAAACTGATGTGCACAAGCCAAAATTGCAAATAATCACCCTAGTTTCAAATTTTACTGTTTATCTGGTAGTTTTCAAACTACTACATAAGTACAAGCTTAAATAGATATATTCCATGGCTTTACAGCACAGCTAGAAATATGAATATTAGATAAAAAAAATATTAGAGGGTGATATTAATCAAAAATATTAATTTAAAATAAAATACAAAGTACTACTTGACTGACTAGAACTCAATGAAGTATTTTAGTAAGTAGCAATACATACCTACAAACAGTATTTCTTCTGAAATGGAATTGTTGTATCATTATATTAGTTCCTAATTGAGTTGCTCATTCATATGCTTACCTGGGGAATGCAGTCGGTATAAGCAAACATGGATTTGAACCTATCATCCATACTTATGTGGTAAAGGATGCACATTGCTATCTGCTTGTGGTTTTCATTACCTGAAAGAGAATGTTTAAAAGAGAATATTTTGATTTTTATAAATTGTTACCTTTTGAACAAAATATTAGTATAAGTTTTATCATTTATACCATGTATACAATGACTATGATCAGCACATTTTGCACACACCTATGTATTTATTTATTTTTTATTTATTTTGTTTTACAACTATTCTGATGTCTGTTTTGCCTGTCTTGGGCTGGACTGCTGTAACACATCAATTTCCCTACGGGATTAATAAAGTATTATCTATCTATCTATACATATGATATTCACATGGCTGCATGCACATGAAAGACTTTTAGCGTAAAAAATCATCCCGTCTTTAAAGGAAATGATAAAAAATAGAAACATGTACAAACAACATTAACAGTACGACCAGGACAATGTTCACTGAAAAACTAAAAAAATAACCAACAGACAAAACAATCCCATGACTGCTGAAAAACATGTATGGTAAACTCGTGGTCAGGCTTGGAAACGGATGACTTTCTCCCTAATCAAAGTGCTGAAAAGTTCTTGTTCTCTTCACTTGGGGCAATTTCAAATCAGTGTGGCCATTCATAAAAAAAACCTCAGTGTAATTTTAATGGCCACCACAAGAGACTACAATTGCAAAATCATGCTGTACTGTGATCAACAAACCCACTGCATCATCTCATTCTTAAAAGGCTGATGAGTACTTTCAGATCTCACAGAGCAAGATAAAGCTGACCTCTGGATACAATTTCTAATGTCTCAAGAACTGCCTCTTTCAAGACAGCTCTTCTCAGTGCTAAAGAGACAGGAAGGCGAGTCTGCTCCATGCTGTGTTAACTTCAGTGGATGTCTCATCTCCTGATCAATTTATAACAATTTATAATTTATAACAGAAATAACAGAAATAATAACAGCTTTATTTCGTTATATTTTTTAAGGAATGATCTATCTTAAAAGATACAATATCCAATTCTGCCACTTTCAAATGGAATCTTCTTGTACGTCAAAGTGCTTAACTTCTCTGGAAGAGTCTATCTGTAGACTGCTATAAAACTTTGTGCTACTTTTAAGGGAATATACTCCAAAACAAAGAAAAAAAAAACGTGCTGAAGACATTAAACACGAAACAGAGGGGTACATTTGTTAAATACACTAATAAAAGCAAATATTCTGAGCCATTGCTCTCAAATATTAAGATTAAAAGCACATAGTCAAAAATCACTATATGAACAATATATTTGTGTTTTACTGAAAGTATTCAGGTACTTCCCTAATCTGCTAGCGGAATGAAACAAATCATGAAGTTTGAACATTATGTGAAAATGTGAGAGCTAAGAAAAGAAAGCACTGGTTAAGGAATAAAATGTGGATATTGCGCAGAGGGAATTGTTCATGCCAGACTTGTACCACTGATAAATGATTTTGGCACAGAACTGCTGCAAACACAGTGAAATAAGGAACAAACTGAAAAACAAAAATTCATATAAATCCAAACATTAATTATGGCTGCCCCAGGGGACCTAAAAATCAGACACACACTGACCTATTACATAACAATTCATTTTGAAAGGAGACTGTACTAAAAAAGATTGAGACGCTCTAGGCAGTATTATCACACAGTCTATTGAAACCATATGGGGTTAGAAAGACCCCAGGAAAAAAAAAGTCGTCTTCGTTTAATTGGGAAAACAGGAGGAAGCATAAATTTTACTGCCATTAATAACTTCAAGCAATCCCGACCAGTCTTTACCGCACCCTGATGGCGGAGACATGTGCTTCTCATTAGAGCGATTGCCACATCTGACCCTTATTACTGCCTCACTTCATCGGTAGGAAAATGGAAGATTCTTTATGGGTTGAAGAGGGGCCTATTAAAGTTTCAAAATACTACTGTAGCCAGAAAAGGCCTGTTTAAAAAATAGCTGTTAAAAATTAATTATACAGGTTAAGGATAGTTATTGTAATATGTACAGTAAACTTTATAAGATGGATTTAAGCATTTTGCCTTCTTGAAGTTTACATGCATCAAAAGTACTTGTGTCAACAGTTATTTTTTTAACTGGTACTGAACTACTGTTTATAATGATGCAATATTTTAATATATAAAATACTATATTATAAAATAAAATCTATATATCTATTATATAAAATACTATATATAATACCATATTATAAATTCCTCATTTAAATAAACACTAAGAGTTTTCAACATTAAGAAGCATGACCAAATCTTTATTTAAAATACTGTATTACTTAGCATTGTGATGTACCTCTAAGAGAATATCTAATATCTGTATAATAATGGTGAAAAACTAAGAAAGAAGACAAACTATTTGGGAGATGAATTACAGAAAAGTATCCAGTGCTATTTAGCTTTTTGTCACATTTATTGTTGAACTAATAAAATGTTATGTTTTTATATTAATGACCTACACAAAACTGAAAAAATTAGCAGACAAAACACTGACTCACGATCAATAATTGTTTTGATGTCTGCTTCTTGGTCTAATTACATACATTGGTCTGCTGAAACCTGTAAGATACAGCCATTCAAATGTTGTGTAAACCTTAGTGTTAAATCAGAATTTGATAAATCAGTGTTGCCAATGTATACATAAAAAATAGTCAATAGTGAAAGCAGTTAAAAGATTAAATTATTGATTTATATTATGTGAGCCATTTGTGTTAGAAAGCAGGATCAAGGAAAAGTGTCCTGTCATACTGATAAATGACTGTTCACTTCAGGATAGATGTCAGCACACCCCTAACAAAGATAATATAGCATCTGTAGAAATCATGGCCTGTTAGTAGACAAGGATTTGTGAAGACACATGAGAGAATTCACATATTATGGATTTCATTACGTCTACCACTGCATAGAAATCTAGGAGGACACCTGTTCAGGTACATTGTACCTGCATGCTGACTGACATTGTGACTAACAAAATCACAATGTAAAGAAAACATGACAATGATGGGAGCTTAGCTATGAGACAGACAGGACTGAAACTACAAAGACTAGCTCCATCAAGAGCCCAAACTGCTACTAGTCGTATGTATTATCTTAGCCCAATTTATTTACTTGAATCGCTTTTCAATTAATGGCTTGTAAAACAAAAAGGTTATGATGTGTGTTCAATCAATAATGCATTCCAGCCGCAGTAGCAAGATTTTTAACAAAGTGCATATTTAGTATAGAGAAATATTCCCTGCAGCAATGTGCAGGCATATCCTTTGAATTCTGCTACCTGATGAATGTGCACTGCAGTAGACAGGGATAGATTACTTGGCAGCTGAAGGTCATTAACAGCTAGTGAGCAGCAGATGTCACACGGACAGTAAACACAGCACTGACAGCTCATCCCAGCCTCTCCAGACAAAGTATTTTCCATGAAACCCGTAACTTAGTTTAAAAAGGAGAGAGCCTACACACAGTATAACATGCTGAAAATATATATAGTGTTTCAAGTATTAAAACCATTAAAAAACAAAATATATATACATACATTAAAACTATGCAGTGCTAAGAAAAAGTAACAAAAGTTTTTTTCATCTTCCTACTCTGGTAGCATAACAATACTTTAATGCTTTCTCAAAACTCCCTTGCTTTTGAATTAAAGATTCAAAATTGTAGCTTGCAATGAAACATCTGATATCTATACAGTGAACATCAAACATGACAAAACAAGACTCACGCAGTCTTTAAAAAGTTTGATATAAAATAGAATCGGCTCTCTACACAACACAATAATCAACACTAAGATGCCTGAAACAACACACAAGAGCCACAATGACAGAAGAATGGCAACATCCAACTAGTGAAACACTCCATTTACAGCAGTACATGGGAAGAAAAGGGTTAAAGACTGTGTCAGTCAGCAATCTCAAGGCTCTGAACATCAACTGGTGTGTTCAGAGAAAACATTTATTTTAAACAAAAAGTGTTATTCTATCAAATACACTGCATTAATTATCCCTGATACCTGACACCCACAGGAGACATTTCAAAGGCAGCTCCATCTAGTGACTCAAAATTACCCACAGAAAGACTTCACAAACCACATACTGTATATAATTTCAGGAAACAATTTATTTAATAGCTGCAAAAGCTAGTTTATACCCCAGATTTAATAAAGGATATAAAGTGCTTACACCTGTAATATCTATTACTATAAAGTGATGTGTTATTTTTCAACAGCAAAACACTAAAAGAATTAAAAGAAAGCATACCTGTTTTGCCCATAAATTCTAAAAGAAACTGCACAAGACTGAAAAAAATATTCCTCAGAAATATAAACTAAAGAAAAATGTACATTTTCGGCACACTATCAATGGTAAATTTCTATTCCTTCTATTTTTATCTTTATTTTACAGCTACCAAATTAATCATGATTTTTTTCAATACATACATTAGAAAGATTAATCACAGTAATTTGGGATATATCATTAATAACAGAAGCATCTGGTGATGCTTCTGAAATTACATTTCATAAACTCTGAACTGAATCAAGGTTTACTCAGATTGGCAATTTTTTTCCTGAATTAAAAAGATGAATATAGAAAGGAGGCAATTCTACAAAACAAAGACAAGATGCACTATAACAAGGACATGAAAGCTTTGCTTGCTTTCACATGAAAGCAGACAACATGCATTCTATGAAGAAGAAATGTCATACATAACTGAAGATAAGTAATTTTTTTATATATATACACAGAATTCAAAACCTAGACCTTGAAAAAACAGAATACCTAGACAGATAAACACCACAGAAAGAAATCAAGGATGTCAGGGAAAAAATATCCTCCTGTGCTCAATCATCAACTTATTGTGAGCCACAGGGGGATAAACACAGCTAAGGGAGCAAAAACTAAATAAGTATGTCATACATAAAATATGGAACCCACATGCAAACAACCTTTAAGACAGGAACTATACAACACACGGTACTAATGTGGCACATTACAGCTCATTTTATCAAAACCTTTCCAATTTGCTATGGTTCTAATATAGCAGATTTATAGATTAAACAGGAGGAACATTTTAAAACAATTCTAAAGTGGTTTAAGATGTTGATATAACTATTACAGGCATTGCTGCTGAAAGGCTGCTGAAATAGTATACATTTTTTTCTCGTAGCTTAATTGAAAACGAAAATTCAGCATTGACCCACAAGGCACGAATGAGCTAAATAGCATGAAATATTGTATAGTAAATACCCTATTATACTAATTGCAGGTATATCTTGGGAAAAACATGAAATATATATCTTGCCACAACATCTTTGCCAAAAGTTATATTATTGCTAATGCTTCCAAATATATATATATACCTAATCAATTCTCGGACTGTTTATTTTTCAGCTTTATTCTGGTTTACATGTTTTACTTTATTATGAGCCATAACTTACAATGCATGGAAAAAGTCGCTGTAGATTATAATGCTTTAAAAATGATGAAAAAAATTGTTAGACCCAAACATATTAAAAGCATGCGATGGTGCATGGAAAAAAACTAGGAAACAATCTTTCCATCAATATCTGTTACAAGCTCTCTGTGACAAAATAGGAATCCCCTAAAATAATTCACTGAAAGCTAAAAGCTGTGCAACCTTAGCTATTGTAGGCAAGGCTACAAAGTTCTAATTGCTGACAAAATCCAAAACATTTTAATGCCCATCAGTGGAGCTCACTGCAGCTACAGCCTCCTCTCTTAATTACCGGTCCTGCAAGTTCCTGATCAAACCTCCAGATGGCCACGAATGTGCGCAGGCTTACATATGAGCGTAGTGAGTTTTGGCAGCAGCCCCACTTGCACCATCTTGTTGCGAAGCCCCGTGTCAAAGGAGAGGTTGAGAAGGAGGCGCAGCGTGATGTTCAGCAGATCCTCATGCTCGCATGGAACCAGTTTGGCCAGTTTCTCAATGATATCCATCTCCGCCTGCAAAACGCAAGTAGAAAAAATTTTACAAAAATACGGGGGTCTTCCTGTTTCTCCACGGAGCAGGCTGAATGCTCTGGTTCATGTTACCCTGGCATTTGCAAGACGTTTCTGAAAACAGAGCATTTCCAACAAAGTAAGAAACCCACTCCAGTGTTCATCATCACTCCTATATAATCCACTTCTGTTACACTTAATGTTACTTTTAATGTTGCCGTTCGTTTCAGGAGAATGAAAACTCTTTGAATTAAAGTGCTTTTTCTTATGTGTTTAATTTTAATCATTAATTAAAAGTGCTGCTGGATGAAATATGGCACATTAACATAATGAATTTATCAGAAAATAGTAAGTTTACATGATTGCACAAAATTATATTATACAAACATATTATTAATATCAGAAGAAATCTAATTGAAGAATACAATAGTTTTATGACAGTACAGGATTTAGGATTTTCTTCAAAACATCCCTAAATACCTCTAAAACAGACATTGTATAAGATGTGCATTATTGCACAGTAACAATAAACCAGAAAACGTCATTTAAAAAATGGAACATATTGTCAATAAACATTTTACAGCAATTAAAGGAAAATAACTACAATGATAAATCCAAGGAAAACCTCCGTGTAAAAACACTAAACACAACATTTTAAATCCTTGCAAGAAACGTTTGAGCCAGTCTCTAACAAACCTCATGTGCCTCTAAGCATGAACCACCTGCCCATCTAATTCACAGTTTCTGCAACTAATTTCTGCACTCCCTAACTTGTTAACAATCTTCTTTATTTTGATGTGGTCTCATTCAGGCAGAAAGGATAGTGAGAAAATCTGCAATATATCATTTTTGAATTCAGTTGGTGCACTATTTTCCCTATGAAAAAAAAAATGTGGTACTAATTTATGCCAGTCCAAAAATTAGATGAAAAGACATTTTAAGAAGTGACTTCTGAAATACTTATTACAGCTTATTGCTTTGCTCTTCTACTTCATAATGTCCATCAGTCTACTACAGCTGCCTTTGTTCCATTTGTCAGTGGAAAAACTACAGTCCACAAAAACCTATTAATCTTTCTTTCACCTTATTCTGGTACTAAATTACAGTGTTGTTCTGTCGTACATTTGATTTATACCATTTTAAGACCACGTTGAAATATTTTCAAAGAGAAGCCTAGTGTCTTTCTTATCTAAAAGATAGAGCAAGGAGAGTTTACAACATAAAAAGCCAATGCTTTCATTTGGTTTTGATGAATGCATGCATTACTCAGTCAGATTGGTTCCAGGTGGGACAATAAAGTACCTAGCCATTAGAAGATACAACATTATGTTTAAACATTCATTCTCACTGTCTTACCTTGCACTGACAGTACTGGAATATACTAGTTGTTTATCTTGTACCAAAGTGGTTCAAATGGCACAATCTTTTACAGTAATGCATGAGAATTTGAAATTAAAAATGATCGGGGAAATGCTTCTAAAAGCTATTGCCTTTAATACCTTTTGTGAGAACAGATCACAGAGACTTAAAAAAAGATAAGAATAAACCTGTGTTATACTAGTTTTGATAGAATTTCTTCTCGTCAATTCATATAAATCTTAATTTGAAGAACATACTTGTACTGAGCTCTGCTCATCTACAGAAAAGTACTGGCTATGGTTAGGTGCAGAACCACATGCTACAGAATATCAGTGCTGGCAAAGTCAGGAAAAAAACCTACTTTGGGACCCAGGTTAACACTCACAAATGTGCTTAAGCTTGAAGGACTCAGATCCTTACCATATCATTTTTGTTCTCCATGAAGATACTGAGTTTCTTCAAGAAAGACATCACCAGGATGAGGAGCTCAAAATTATCTCTTTCCAGCGTTTTGACAAGCATGTGGACAATGTTCTTATTCCTCATCTTTAGTTCTGTGCGTGTGTCTTCAGCGAGATTCAAAAGCAAGTACAACGCAACTAGGTGAAAATGACAAAGAAGTATGTTAAAAAACAAAGCTGTAGAAGACTGGGTAGTTAGGAGACATCAGGTGTCAAAAAAGTGCTCCAAAAGAAACACAATTTCTATTTGCTCTAAAATAAAATGAGGATGCAGCAATCATATTTTATGATGCATTGTATCAATGCAACACATACCATAGAGCAGCATAGGATTTTAACAGCAAACAACCCAGCATAGCAAACAACCCAGTCATGTTGTTTAAGCTGATATTCTGGCTTCTTTCAAGAAACAGCTGGATAAGATCTTTTCATCAATTAACTACTACCTTCGAAAGGACTAGATAGCCTAAATGGCCTCCTATCCTATGTTCTAATATACACTACTATATTTTATGGCAGAAGAAACAATCTCTAAGAGAGGATCTATCTGTATATATACTGCACTTATTAAGACTAACTAATTCACAGATTATGAGGAAAAGATTCTGTGTGCTGCAAGCACACTGACATTGAGTTCACAGATAAGACACAGGTAAGTTAATGAGGACTGACAGGGTGTCTAATTATGAAAGTCACAGGCTCAGTAGTCAGTAGCAATGACCATTGCTGGAAGGTGTATCATGTGACAACAGGTTGTAGATGCTTGTGGAATTGTGAAATTCTCTCCCACTTCTCTCATATACAAGCCTATACAAGCACAAAATTGGGGCTCTCTTCAATTAGGCTCAAGACCTGCACGTAGAGTATTCATAACATGACAGTCACATTCTTATCTTGCAAGACACCCACTGTGACATAACCAGCAAAAGAAGATGCTTTTTCCTGCTAGAATTTAGTCATCAGGATGTGCTCACAGGAAGAGCAGCAAGTGAGGTCTCAGGACGTGATTCAGGCAGGGCTGTTAGCCCACAGCAATTACAACAACTGGGGTTCTGTGGTGATTAGACACTTCTGCCCAGACTACCAAACATGGACCTCCCCATCAATTGATCTGATGTAAACAAGAAGTAGTGTATCATTCTGCATCTCTATCCTGTACTTGCCGTTGCCATGAGAGAGGTCCACACAAAGCCTTGATGCAACACTAAAAGGGTCTTAACTCCACTGCTGCCGAGTCCATCTGAGACGACTAAGTCCAGCTTCCAACAAACCAGTGGTACAAAGGCAATCTTCTCTTCACAAGTGGTACATGGCTCCATTCTGCATTTTTCTAAATTTATTTTCATCATGCTTGACATTCAACAGGTTAACTTCATCACCTGTGCCCAATCAACTACCTCACTAATTAGGAGATATAGTGCAGTAAAAGTCACTCAAGTGTGTTATGGGCAGTCATGAATAATGCCAAAATACTGCATCAGCATCAAACATCTGTATAATATTTCTAAAAACACACATGCATAGAGGTATATGTTTCTTTTGATTGTCAGCATATATACACTACATCAGAAATCAAGATTCTCACTCAAGAATTTTGTAGATTAAATCAGTTTTTCATGTAAGACAGTATCACACTAAATATCTTTACTAAAAACCACAGACATAGAGTCAAATAAACATTTTAATTCACTGAAATATGCTAGTTTAATGCGAGTTGAAGCTGCAGTCAAACAATTCTGAAAAAGAATGTTTAATGTTCCTAATTGTTAAATGAGCAAAAAAAAAAATTTGTGCTACCTCTTAACAGCTGCTCTTGTTTCATCACAAGACCTTGGTACTTCTTGTATGCTTTTTCATATTCTTTCTTCAGATTCTGGTTGTCAGAATCATCTTCACGTAACTATAGTTAAGGAAACTCTCAGTGACTAATGTATAGTGCAATATAGTATATTAATTCAGCATTCGACACAATCTAAAACACTGATTTTAAGATTGATCATTTCTTCCTAAAACATAAAAATCTTCCTTTTACAAAATAAATAGCCTTTACATAATTAAACAGCTGTAGACAGAGTATAGATGTATATTAGCACAGAAATTCTTCTTTTTGAAAGAAGTACAAGAAATGGCCTGTATTTGAACTGACCACATGCTTATATTTTGAAAATATTCTTTTGCATCAGCATTCTGTTGTATCATGAAGAATAGAATACTGAAGCAATCACCCTTAGCTCAAAAAGATTCAACTTTAACATTTGTTACTGCACCTCAACAGACCTACAGTAAGTATAAGACACCACAAAGAAATAATGGATAAAAGGATATAAGCCTTCTTCTTTTTCAGCAGCTCCTCCTGCCACAAGTCATACCTTTTCAGCTCATGCTCGATGATGTTCATACAGAGGGCACCGATTTTGTAATGAGTGATGAGACCGTGGAACTGTGAAAAGCTTGGAACGAAACAAAAAGTGAATGATTTCAAACTGCATAAAAATGTTAATCATAGTTAAAAAACGAACAACGAGAGAATGGGACCTTTTGGTTTTGAGATGGCCTTGTTACTGTATATGTTTGAAACTTTTAAATGTAGAAAAGGGCATCAATGTTAGAGGGAAGACCCTGGCTAACAGTGCTGAAAATGTTTACATTACAATGCATTCAGCTGTGTAAAATTGCATTATTTTGAAACTTAATAATGATTAATTATGAGAAATAGGCATGAGGATTAAAAGTAGCTACTTTGTAACAAAAATCAACTCCAATGTTTGTATCACAGACTTTAAGGAGAACTTTCTTTCTCTTCTGGTCAAATTATAAGAATGTGTTAAATGAAACTATTCAATATTGACTGAATGCCAAAAGAGAAAAAAACAGTCAACTTCTGTAAACCTATAAAACAGCGGATAACACCAATTTAGGTGCAGTGCAGTTTAGTTTTTAAAGTGCAGCTCCTTCTGCCTTTTTAGAAACGCAAGCTGAATCATTAATTTCACTCACACAAATCATTTTGAAAAATATGTCCTAAAATGAACTCATTCCATCCATTTTATATCATAAGGTCTCAGCCAAAAGCACCCCCAGAAGTATAGGGTGCAAAGCTGGATAGTGATCTAAATTACTGAACTTAATGAAATCAACGACTGAATTCTTTCCATGTTAATAAAGAACTTAAATGTATCAAATAAAATTATTTTAGCATTTAATTACATTCACTGACATTTCTAATGTTTTTAATATAAATGTTCCAGAACTTCAGCAGTTGGAAGAGCTTCTTGGTCTATACTGCTTTCCTAATATTGGATCTCGCAACATCAATGTGAGGAAACTTTGAAGGTGGATTGGCTGTCTAATTATACTAATTCAATTTTGAGAGTTTAAAATTATATTTAGCTAGCAAATTGGTTACAAATGGCAAAAAAGTAAACAGGGTTGTCAGACGCTGAAACGTACTTTTTCCCTGCCAGACACATAGCAAGTATATTTCCAAATTCAATAATAGAAAACTGTAGTGGTGACAAGCCAAAGACTCACTAAATCGAGTAAGAAAAAAATGACAGAATAAATAGTATCGAAATATATAGCAGTTATGACTCACTATAACAAACTTGTGGAATCAAAATATTGCATAGTTTTATCCTGTGCACTGCTTACCACATAAATCAAACTCTCTGTTGCTTGCAGCTACACTATATAGCACTCTTGTATGTTCTAATGTTCTACATTAAGTTCACTCTTATGTTCTAATAAGCATACCATAATTTGTCAAGGTACATTTCTCTGTGCAACAGTGGTAGCTTTATCACATTGTCCCTGAAGCACTTTTCACTAGACTAACACCGTTGTGTAGTTTAATACTTTAAAGGACGAGAAGATCATTAAAATCAGACCTCCTGAGGAGAAAAAAAAATGATGTTCGAAACAAATTTAAAGACACTCATAAGTACCTGGAGAAACAAAAGAAGATATAGATGATGGTGGTGGCAAGTTCTACACTTTGTTTCCAGTCTTCTCTCAGGACTCTGGCTAGAGCTCCCAGTGCAGTTTCTGATCAACAGATAAGAGAAAATAACTGAAACTGGGGTGTGTACTAAAAGTCCCCATAAGAAAGAAACTGTAAATGTATTAAATTCCTATCAGACCATAAGAGAGACATTTTAAAGGTTTAAAATCCTCGTAGTTTTCTGTTTTTTACAGATCCATGGATTCAGGCCCAATGTTAATCCTTCCCCGCAGTGGTAATTGAGTTCATATACGTGGTTTGCTGAAGCAGGCATTTTTAAATTTAAGATAGATGATCTGTGATAAATTGTGTCTGGTCCCTGTGATCTTAACAGTGAAAAGGCATGACTGTTTTGAGAAGGCAATTTTCATAATTTCCCACAAGTGCAGTGCTATGGGAAAAGGGGGGATATGACTCATAGTGTGAAAAAGAAGGGGACCAAGAATTCCCCTTGCCGGTTCATTCTGGGTAAACTGGAGTTGAGCAAAAATCTCATTCCTGTACTGTCCACAGGACACTGGAGCACCAGCTCACCGTTCTGCAGCAGTTCCTCCAGATTGTCAGGGTTGCGAGCAAGCTGGAGGATGAGGGCTGAGCCTCTGACTTTTTCGGGGATGTCCTCATACAACAGTTCAACATAATCATCTATGTCGTTGATGTTGGCCACCTCGTCAATCTGCAACGACAAAGCCATGAAACCAGCCAGAGACAACAAACAGGTTGTAAACCAAAGTAAAAGTGAACCCGGCCCACATCTCCTTACCTCCATCCCCTCAAAGGGAGGTGGATCTTTCGGTTTGCTTGGTTTCTTCTCTTTCTTTTCTGCAAGAGAATGTGACACAGATCAGAACATCTACGGAACTCTTTTACATAGTATCCATTAATCACCGTTATATCAGTTCCATGGCAATTTGTGTGTGTGCGCTTGTCCGCCACATGAAGCAGTGCGGTGGCTCTGTGGCTAAGGATCTGCGCCTGTGGCTGGAAGGTTGCCGGCTCAAATCCCATGGCCGGCAGAGGAATCCTACTCCGTTGGGCCCCTGAGCAAGGCCCTTAACCCCAGCTGCTCCAGGGGCACCGTATAAATTGCTGACCCTGCGCTCTGACCCCAAGCTTCTCTCCCTGTCTGTGTGTCTCTTGGAGAGCAAGTTGGGGTATGCGAAAAGACAAATTCCTAACACAAGAAATTGTATATGGCCAATAAAGTGATCTTATCTTATCTTATATCTCATGGTCCTCACCCTTACCTCTGCCACTGGGGGTGTGTCTTCGATTCTGCAGGTAGTACAGAAGCTGCTCCACTTCAGCCAACTTGGAAGGATGGATCAGTTTACACTCTTCGACTACTTTTCGTGCTAGAGAGGCTATATCCGTATTGGCATTCAGGCTCTTGAGGCGAATACTGGGAAGCAACAATCATTGGCATGTTAAAACAAGGACTTTGTAGTTTCTTTCGCTCAGTTCCACATTGTTTCTGCACTGTATCTCTGATCAGATGTTTACCCATGAAAATTAACAAGCAAGTGTTTACATTTCTTGTGCTACCACTAGTTTTATTTTCCACACATCTATCCATCATTAATGATAGTTAACAGTCAAAATATAATAGAATTCCTCACAATGTTTTTTTTTTTTAATCAAATCTATATGCAGATCAGGTAAGGCAAAAAGAACTTTATATCATGTGTGTCAGCGGGCGGTCACAATTAAAAGTAAACAGGTAAAATGTTATACTGTAAACTTAACAGCATTGCGCAAATCATGTTTGTCATAATTGACTTGATCAGAGACTCCTCAATCATTTATTGCTAAAGAGCACTAAGGCATTGTCTCTACAGAAGCCTGTATAAAATAATGATTAAAAAATTATTTGAAGCTTGTATTGATCAATACATACAGACAGTAGACTTTACTATTACATATCCAATATTTTATTATATTTATTGTAATAAAACCTGTTTTAAAAATATTTTACTTATTATTTTTTCAGTGCAGAATAGAAAAGTATCCACATAATTCAATTCAGATTGTCATAACATGGATTGTCGTTGATGATGGATCTGAACCAAAGCTAAAAAAGAAAAAGCATTTGACCTGGTCTGAGTCCAATTTAGGTGATAACTGTCAGTCTCAAACATTTAAAAGGGGTGATTCAGAAATAACATTCCTGAGAGAACTCAGTTTTAGTGGGAAAGTGGCAAGTAAGCCTTAGCGAACTTCAAGCCCCGTACAAGGACTTAAACCAAGAGAAATATATTTATTGGCACCTATCAAATCCACAGCAATTCTTAAATATTTCAGTGTCTGTCCATGGAGATTTATTTTACAATAAATCCATTCCAACAGGTTTATATATATATATACTGCCACTTCTAAAAATGTAAAAAGGAAATAAAATATGAACATTAAAATGCGAACCAATGTAATTTTAAGAAAGCTAGGCTGCACACCAACTCTACAGAATATACCTATTTAAAACATCACCACTTCTTACATTTTCTGGCACTCTTTCCGTTCTCCTAGCATGGGGTCTCCCATCTCACCCAAAATAGTAGCTTCCACCTCATACTGGACAATAAGGGCTTTCTCAGTTGGATGGACATCAATGTTTCCTCCCTTTACTTTTCTGTAGGGGAGGAAAAAGGCACACACAAAACGACTGAAATGCATGCAAGGGCCAGGCTCGCCACTAAGCTTCAGGGAAATATTAAAACAACGGCTTCTTTAACTACTGCAATGGAAGCAAAAAGGGAAATAGATGCTAAGGACTTACCTAATATATTACATAGCGATTTTACAAGGACCACTGTTTGGGGTTATGTCTTTTAAAGCAACCAGATACTGTGAAATTCATATTTAATATCACCATTTACCAAGTGGTATTCAATCATGTACACAAACAAAAACATGAAAAATAAATTGGAGGTATTTCATAGATATTCTACTTTCTCCTGTCTGGCTCATTTGCTATCATGGCAGCTGAATTAACAGCAAGCAGTCATGCATGATATTGTTTCCTCATTTGTATGGTCTTCTAAGATATAAACTTGGATATAAGGTATAAACAAATCAAGACATAATTCTCTCGCAAACGTCAATTGTCTGTGCTTACAACTCTTTTTTTTTAATCATACGTATTGTGATTATGATAATAACATGCTGCTTAGCCAGACGTTGAGTGACACTTGTCCCTCAAAGAGACAATGGGGTTTGAACTGGTGCTTTAGAAAGCACCGGAGGACAACAACATGTTTATTTGAATATTATGTTTGTTTCCTATTGTGCTGGAATATAAACACGTTCTGCTCCCAGCACAATATGGAGCAGAATCAAACGATAACGTGATGACCTCAGTTATGTGAAAATAATCTAGGTTACTTTTTTAACTGAAGAAGAAATTACACTAAAAATACTGACGGCCCACACCCAAACGAGCACATACAATGAATAGCAGGGATTCGTCTTAGCAAATGATTCAAACACAGAACTGCAATATTTTCCAGCAAATGGCATTTAATACATATTCGATGTGCACGTTTCAGTTTAGAGCGCATTTTCTGATAAAAAGAGATGACATGAAGCTATCCCATCTTACACAGTCGCAATAAAAAGCGTTTATTTTTGCTTGCTTATTTTGCTGACAGCCCCTGCAGAATTGCATCTTACCTTTTTAAATACCGTGCGTCTTCCGTTTGCATCGTGTTTTCAATTTTTCTAAATTCGACGATTTGCAATGTTTGTTTCTATGAATTCAACGATCTCACTGTACAGTATTCTATATTTTATGATACAGTAATGATGTGCAACCGGCTGTTTCCGTTGCCAGGGTAAGCCACTACTCATCCCAGCATGCAATGTAGCAACAGTGCAGATAGAGAGGGTCGGAGCTCAGCTGTTTCTGCCGGAATGATTTGTTCTTGCGCCTCCTAATGGCCGGGATGACAAAAACATTTCAGCAGTGCTGAAATCGATAGCTCTTACAGATACCGATACCAGTCATAAACAAACAAGTCCAACCACGGTCTTTCCTCTTATTTACGTACAGCGTAATTACTGAATTTGTTAAAGCATTTCGGAACCCCCCAATTTTCTCTTCTTTGCCTTTCTGTTGAAGTAATCGCTTTTGACATAACGTCACTATAACCATCATTTTGACTTCAAAGTGACAAATCACCAGCGAGGGCGGTTTAAGGGGTAACTAGTTAACACTGTAGTTAACACTGTCCGTTGGTTTAAAAAATGTACACGTGTTTTTCTGGCATCACGATCGATCGAAGTATTACTTTTTATTTATAAATGTGGAAAAGCAGTAATTTTCTACCAGTTTCGTTTTAAAATGCATTATAAATAGTACTATTCTGATATATTTAAGCAGTTGACATCGAAATGCGGTTGGCAGGATGGCATTTACAAGCAGAAAACGATTCTGTATTTAAAAGAAATGAGATACAGTACATTCCTAAAACTTTTATCATATGGTGAAATTAACTTTTTTCCCCCTTGTGTGAGTAGCACAGATCTTTCAGGATACTAATTAACGAGTTAGTGAAATATATAGTACCCAATGTTCATGTCTTTCCTTTGAACTTGACATTATTTGTAATAGCTACATAATTGTTGTGAAAACATTAACTAACATACCATCTGAAAACGATATCCACTGAATACTAGACTGTGTGATAGTTGTAAGTTTTATTGATCTGTTAACTTCTGTTTTGTCAGGCTGTGGGGTATTTAGGTTGAAATGCTTTTTTCAGTTTTAGATTTTTGGTTTGCTTTTAACGTTTACTTTCCTACGTTTGTACTCAGTACTCAACTTGGCTTCATAACTAGGTTATGGGGGGGGGGAGGCTGAGGTTTTACAGATGCAGTATACACAAGAAAAACGTCTGCATTAAATTTTAGTTTATTTACTTACTGCACGATTAAATTGTAAAAAAGACGGGTGAATGGCCTGCCCCTGGTTCGCAAGCCTTCTTCTCTACAAATATTTTAAAGAAAAGGTTACAAAGTGTTCTTCTACTTGCTAGGATAACCTGTTGTAAAACATCTTTCAATTTTTAGTGGGAAATTCAGTTTAGTGGTATTACCTCAATAACTACTGTATGTATTTAATAGAGAAGTTTGATAAAAGTCATTTGTGGAAATTATTATAACATTGTTAAGACATCCATTATGTAATTCTTATCATTCAAGCTAAAACTGTTTTAAAAACATTTTTCATAACTAAATTCAGGGAGTACCAACAAAGACACAAGCACTGGCTAAATCAGAAACGTGGTGAATTGAGAAAATGGTACATAACCTTTGAAAGAAGAGAGCATGTTTGAAAATAAGGCAACAAAACCAAGTATGTGTCACAACATTTCACCATGACAGCAGTTAAAAGAATTTACACTGCAGTCTAAAACATACAATGCAAATGACATGCCATAGTGGTTAAAAAAATAAATACACAGCTACTGAAAATATATACACATTATTTTTTTTCTATGGTGTCGTTTTTTGGCAGTAATGTACCTCATGATAAAGAGAACACTGTTTTCACTGTACAAAGTGTGGTGGGAAATGAATTGGTTGCTTATGTGATATGACAACTGGGAGTTTGACACTAGAAGCAGGCAGGACCTTACCTTCTGGAGAAGGAAACCGAGAAACCAACACACCCAACAATACTCAATTCAAACGTAGGAAAGCAAGACTATTTTTTTAAATGTATGGTGTTTCACATAAGAGAATAAATACAAACAAAAAGAAGATGTATTGATTGTGTTCATGAAATGAAATTTGAGAAGGATTACTTACCAAAGAAAAAGAGATTTCTAGTTAAAAAATTTGATTGTTATAATTAGGAGTAAACGACCATCTTTACAAACGTGGAAGGTTTTATTCAATCTCTAATTACACTGACTGAAAGATGTTCGTACTTTAACTTTTTTCTTGAACATAAAAAAAACATCACAGTTACACAAAACTAGATTTGAACTTTAGCTGTGTGCCTTAAATCTTGTTGAACTGAGCTGTCTGAATGCAGATATTTTTAGTTCACATATGGAACAAATACAATGTGAATACAACTACTTTTTTGTACTGTAAGGGTGGAATACTATGAATAAGAATTAAAGAGGAAATGTTTAAAAGCTGCAACATTAACCAGATGTATTATGGTAAATATAGGTAAATTCTGCAGTGAGGTTTTTGGCACAGATGTGTGCTAAAATTGTTTTGACAGGTCCTTGAGCAATAGTGTTGCTTATAATGTTCTAATATAAAATATGAATTAAAAGATTGAACAGACTTAAATATCCAATAATCACAGCAGCTATTTTGTTCAAGAGATTATCAATACAATAGCACTAGATGGAGCCATGCATTTAAGTGAGGAATGGTTCAGTTAAAAAAGTAAAACGTAAGAGGCATTAAATGAAATGGGTCCTGCTTTATGCCGCTCTGCAAGACGGAATGTTAAAGCATCTGTATTTCATCAAACAGGGGTTTACAAGGATACATTCTTTCTGTTTGATACTTTCTCCCTGATAACAGCAGGTGGTAAATTTAAACTGTTATATATACTGCCTTCGGTTTCAATTATGCGTTAAGTGGATAAACTTTCCCTGTTGCACCAAAGTAAATTTACTACGTGTCATCTTATATTGAAAATATATATTAAAAAAACAAAGAAATATGAATTTTGTCATGTTGTATAGATAGAAACATCTTTTAAATACATTTTAAAATAAGTTGTAATATATGACAATATAACAATCACAAATAGAAAAAAATACAGATAAATGACAGACTACCCACACAGTGCCTCTATCAATATATAAGACAAGGAGCAAACTAATTCATTTTATTACCTATGTTATGTATTTAGACACACAGGTTAGTCATTAAATGTTATAATTCGTTAAAATTCTATTAGAATATAATGAAATTCTATAGTAGATTTTTAAGACTTTCAGTAACAATGTACAGTAGGAGTGAAGGAGGACAGTTTCCCAATCTTTGTCATCCCCAAAAATGGTGTTTGGCCGAAGAGAAAATACATGTACTCTGTGTAGACCCAAAACAGACACAAATGTAACCGCTTAAAAAAAGACTAAGTTTATGTTTTTTGGCAAATCCTCCAAGACCCCTCACTCTCAAGGCTGCAGAATCACAGCAGGATGAGCTGGTCAGCATTACCGCCTGCTAGTGAGTGACAGACAGATCTGTCTGCTGCCCTTCAGATGGAATGGGACTGCAGTGCAATGGCAGAACCTCAAATCCTGTGATGTCGGTATCCACACGCACCAAATCTGGGAAGGCAGGGACAACAAACACTGAGAAGCAAGGGATCAGCGAAACGCTAATCTCACAGACAGAAGCTAATTTGCACTTAAAGTTGTAACGCTGCACTTATTCAGTAATGTCTGAAACAACAATTATGATTTTTGCCCTTCATCTGGAGCAGCACAGACAATATAACACAGCCACTTATTTTCTAACCATGTTATCCTATAGGTGGGGGGTTTGCCAGAGCCTATCCCAGCAAGCAACAGGCACAATACAGGATACACTCTGGCCTGAAGGAGACGCCAGTCTATCCCAGGGCACACACAGATAGCGCTAAGTTCACATTCTCACCATGAACAATTTTCCCATAAGCCAATTAACCCAGCAGCACATCTTTGATCTGTGGGAGGAAACCAGAGCACCCAGAATAAATCCACACAAACATGGGGTGAACATGTAAACTCCCTGCAGACAGCACCCCACACTCGGAATTGAACAAAGGGCAACAGCACTAACCACTGCACCACCATAATGCAGTCCCTTTCAATTTAGGAAACATTTTACAATGGAATTTAGGAAAAAAGGCTCTTTTCTTTTTATTGTACAGGGGATTCAATGTTACACTGTATGCATTAAAATGCAAACATTGCTGAGAAACCAATAAATAAAATTCCCTGTGTGTGTGTATGATATGTTGCACAAGTGCACTTAACCAGGCGAACAGGAAAACAGAGCACTTGGCTCATTTTAATCTCCCTTCAGCTGGCGAGATTTAGAATGGTTCTGGCACTTGCTGAGTTTTGTTATGGCCTTCTGTGTGTGTACTTGCACATGCTGTAGGTAGCCGGTGTTGATGGTTGGGAGCTGAGAAGACAGCGAGGCAGCAGATTGGACCTAATGTTTTCTGGGCATGGAGTAATCTGAACAGAGAGACAAGCTTCTGAAATAACAGATAATATTCCTTCTCGCTAAGCACTCGATCTGCAGTGCTTCAGTAGCTTTCAACACTTGAAGGGTGAGAGTGTGGAGCTGATCAGTTACAATGTCAGTGCCAAGGGTCATACTGATATAGCAGTGACAAGGCAACTGTCGGACCGGCAGTCGCTGAGCTGGGGAGGACACTCGGAGACCCACGCTTCCAACATGGACTTCATGGGAGCTCATCTGGCGTTTATATCACGATGGAAGGAGACTGACGACGAGTTATGTCGGCACAGCATGTCATTTGTTCTCCACAAAGCCATCAGGAGTGACTTCTTTGAGAGCTACCTTTACCTGCTGGAGACACTCCCCCTTGGTAAGCAGGCTAGAGAAGCTAGCAGCCGTGTCTCGCGCCGCACAGAGGTGTCCTTCGCCAGAATTTGCCTTCTGCTTCATTGCTCTCTCGTCTCTCTGGATCACCCAAAGCTTTATCCAGGTCTGGTAATTATATGTTGAGACATCAATGTCCCTTGATTGTTCAATGGTGTATTCATGTACGGAATTTTTTAAAAAAACATAGTAAGATCTATCTAACATAGTAAGATAACCTGCAAGTCAAGTGAATAAGCATATCACTAAAGTACATTTAAACTGTTTGAACTGCAGATTTGACTTCCAGTGTAGTATTACAATAAAAACTTAGAAGCAAGGCAAAGATAACATTAACAGAATCAAGAATAATTAACAGAATACTCTTTTTTGTCTAGACTAGATTAAAAGGATATATATCTTGCCCTCTTTTTCTTCTGTGAGCAATACCCACAAAGTCCCTAACAGTATAGCATGAAAGCAGCCACTGTTGGCTCTGTGATTCTGTGGAATCCTGATGTTGTAGAGTTTATTTTTTTTCTTTCCAGAGAAATTAATTTTAGCAACTGCCTTATAAAAAAGCATTTAGGAAAAATAACCTCCTTTAGCATATTTTGGCACAGGATGTATCAGCGTTTTTCTTAGCAAGGTGTTTCCATACATATCTTACACACAGCTGTTTACGTGATCAAGTTTAAACCCTAGATTATAAAAGCGAATATATTTTCCCCTCAGTTTTATGATACTGTTTTATGCTTTGTATAGCTACTCTCCCTGACTAATTTTTATTCCAATTTTCAGACTGATCTTAGCATTTGCTGAAGAGCGTGTGGATGTGTAATAGACTTTGTGACAGTACTGTGATATTTTATAGGTGTGCTGGTTGACAGCTTGTGAATTAAGATTTATTTTCTATAAAAAGAGTCAACGCAAGTTGGTAAATAAGTTTAAAATATGTGACTGAGCTCGGACTATCAGAAGGAAATGAAATAATATCGTCAGCTTAGGGTGAAATGTGATGTTCGGACCCTGTATATGCCAAAGGGAGAAATGCTCTTTTTAGCCGGGGCCAGTTGTTCTGAGAAAAGAAAAAAACAATAATGGGGATAATAATAACGGACAGCTCTATCTGCACACAAACCATGGGACTGTTGTATAGATTGTGGATCATACGGCCAAAACTAATGCCCTTCTAGAATAGACCATAGGAAGTCACATTCCAGGAGATCAAATGTCTTCTCTGCCTCTAAAGAAAGCACTGCATGAGAGGCTAGCTGATGGCAAGTTTGATCCAGGATATGGAAGATATACATACATGGTACTGTACATTCAGAATATGGAAATTATGCACACATTGTATACCCAGAATATGGAAAATAGACATCTGTTGTTAAGAAGCAAATCAACTTTCAAGAAGGCAGTCTGATTCTGATGTATTAGACGGCACATGTATGTTTTCATACACTGAAAAAGGACCTTTACAAAAGGTTTAATGTCTGAGTTTAATAACGATAATGGTTTATAGCATGAGCAGTCCAGGGTTCCTTGCGTTTTTAGAAGAAACAAAGTAGAGATGATTTTGATCTTTATGAAAAGAGCCAGTTCGCATGAAAAATGTGGTATTAAAGGGTCACGTTGATCTCCCACTGCTAGAAACAACAAAGGTGGGATGCCATCTAAGCCAGGAGATTTCTGTTGAACCAAACCCTCACCCTGTTCAGGAGTCAAGTAAGGCAATTTAAATCAATTTAAGAGACCCTTGATCTTGGTCAGGTTTTGACTGGTTTCAGAATTATAAAGACCTGAATAGACTTCTTGGAAAATGTCATTACCTTAAGCTCATGGTTAGAGAGTATAATATCGTTATTTTCCTTGAATACGTCAAGTGAAGCCAAACGCTCATTTAATTGTAGTGTTTGTGTGAGTTACCTTCTAGGCTGTTCAGTATGTTTGAAGTACAGTGCCCCTGTCTTGTGTTTGAGGAATTCTGCTGGAACATAAATGGCGAGGCTTATAAATTCAATGTGCAGATTAACCAGATATCGGTCTTATTCTTCTGTAAGTTTTTTGTTCCTTCATCATCGCAAAAGTTTGGTTTCTAAGTGAGAAGTCCGTATGTTAAATTTTATATATGTTTATGCCTTATCAAGTCCACAAAACTGTATCATAAATAATGGTGGCATCGAATCATGTCAAGTACAACTTAATTCTGATACTTCTGTATCATCACTAAAACTGGTGATAATATTTATCTTTTAATAAATGGCTACAAGCTCCCAATTTCTATTATTCAAAGGGAGTAATGCTTTAAGATTTAGGATAAGACATTGTAAATTGCCATAATCAGAAGCTCCTAAATGTTTACACCCAATTCAGTTCCTGAAGGGCCTTGTGACTTCTGGTTTTTGTTCAAAATTGAGTAGTTAATTAAACAATTAACCCAATTCTTCTCCACTATTCATTATTGTTCCTAAGGTCTTTCACAGTTGATTACACATGACAATCATTAAAAGCACAGTCACCTATACATCACTTCAGACCCTGGTTAGAAGTATTACAATCATGCAGCTAATAAAATAATCAGACCATCTATGTAATTGAGAACATGGTTGGAACATAAACCAAGAGACAGAAGGTCCTCCAGGAATAACGATTGATATCCCTGGCTTACAACTGTTGTGTAAATGCAGGAACAGAAACAAACACAGACATACAGTATGCTTACTGACTGAGAGAACTGACTGATGACTGTGATGCTCACTGTTAGACTGATATTAAACTGATGTAAAATCCAACAAAATCCAACATGTAAAATACAAATCGTCAAACTCAAAATAATGAAGACTCACAATAATTTTCTGTAATGTATATTATAAAAACAACAGCACAGGACTTAACAGGCATTATAGTTAAGCAAAGCACAAAACAATTCCCTGTGCTCCAGAAAGGCAGCACAGCTCACTGTTTCACCAGATCACATTGCCCCCTCTCACACAGAAATCCAAACACGCATGACAACAACAGGCTGGTCTATAAACACATTACAGTCACAGAAAAAAAAAATCGAACCTCAGTCTAACAATAACGCAACAGGTGCAGTGCGCAAACCAGGTATTGCTTTCTAATACTGTCTCGGGTCCTCCATTGCATAATAATAACAACTTTTATTTATAAAGCACCTTTCCAAATCCAAGGATGGTGCACGTAAAGAGAAAGAAAAAAATGACAATAAAAATTAAAAGGAAAAAAATAAACCAGAGTTTACAGGTTTATACAGTTAGAATGCAGGGCAGTCAGACATAGTCCCTGGTAAAAAGGTCAGTTTTAAGTTTGGATTTTGAAAAGAGTCAAAGAATTTGTCTCTCAAAGAGTCATAGGAAGGGCATTTTATAACAGAGGGACAGCAACAGAAAAGACATGGACCAAAGACGTTCAAGAATAAACCCCAGGTACAGTAAGCAAAGGAGCAGTCTGAAAGAAATGGAGCCTACAGAAGGGAGTGTAAACATGGAGGAGTTCAGGGATGTATGATGGAGCCAGATTGTTTAGAGCCTTGAAAGTCAGCAGCAACATAATTCAACATTATTGAACAATAATAAATAAGTGACTTTATAGGCAACCAATGTAGAGACTTAAGTACAGAAGTGATATGCTGCCAAGGTGGTATAGCTTAAAAGACACTTTCCTTGTTTACAGACAATAGGCAGAAGCAAAATCCTCTCCTTAGCTGCTGAAGGCAAGATAAGATGATTCCCAGAGAGATGCAGATCATATCATAACCCCAGGGATAGGTTTGGAGAGAGTCAGCGACACATCCCACAAAGCAAAATTTCTCAGCTATTGCAGTTGTACTGCAGAAATCCCAGACAGCCCCATTAGCGACCATTAGCGAGACAGGGCTTTGAAAGACCCTGCGGTAGCTGAGTTCGGCCTTGGATCTGGGAGAGGAAGCGCCCAGTTTAATTCTTCACTGGGAGCTCCCCACTCCCCAGAGTTTTCCTCAAAGTGCTGTGCTTTGAAACTGACCTGAAACAAATTTCTGGGTGGAGTCCATATGCATGATTGTAAAGCATTTTATTTTTGCGGTCTGATTGTTTGTAACACAATGTACAATACTACTCAAGGACAGCAGCTCCACAACTTGAGGGCTGGGATCCTACAAATCTTATTGGAATCAACAATCAGCAAGTAATCAAGACCTGAGGAATAAAAGTGAGAATGTCGACCAATGAAATAAACACCAAACTTCAAGTAGTAAAAGGCTGAGTTGTACTAGAACAGCCTAGTACAATTTAAGACTAGAATTATCAATTTCTGGAGTTCTTCTCTATCTAAATCTATATGTCCCTGTCCAGGATGCGTTTTGCACAGCTTATATTAATGACCACACACATGTATATGTGGAATGCAGCCTGTTTTCCAAAATTGTCACTCTGAGCTGCTCAGACACTAAGGAGCTATGACCCTTACCAATCTGTTGAGCACATGTTGCTTGTAACTGGAGAACTTGCGCACAAATGCTGGATTGGCTAGAACATCAGTTCAGTCCCCTTTCTACTTTGCTGCACCATACAGTAAATGCACATGGAAAGCAACCAGCTGGAAAGAAATCAGACAGGGATAATAATGTAAAAATAAAATGACATCATGTCACTTTAAATCATGTCATTGCCAAACGCCTGGCACCACTGCCAACCCCTGCAGAACCAACCCAAGGCATGTCATCTCATCAGTGCACTGAAAGCTGTCTGGCTGATGATCCAAGCCCATCATCTGGATTAAGGAGGTTGCTCAAACTGGGACATTGACATGCTGTAGAATAAATGCTAAAAATAGTCCTAAAACTGCATTGAAAATCGCAGCAATGCAAAGCGTAGAACTAAACACCAGAAATAGATATCTCAAAAAAGAATTTACACATTCATTTTAGCGAGGATATCTGCCACTTGTTTTAGCTGTGGCTTTCCTTCATTATTCATTTATAATGTTCAGTGATGATGCCAAGTAATGACTGCCTTGTGTCACCCAGGTGGCTTCTCTGCACTTCAGCAGTGGAGGAAATGGTTCCCTTCCTTTATGTAAAAGCTCTTTGAATCGTTTCGGATGAAAAATGCTTCTCCAGCATGATTAAAAGGGTTCTGCATGTTTCTAAATCCTTTCCAGTCCTGCAGTGCAGTTTCTTTATTTAAGAACAGCAAATACTTTATTGTCTTACTTTTTTTTCCTTTACTTTATGATTCTAGGACAATGTCTTTTTATTCTTCTGCCCTCTGACCTCTGAGAAGAATTAGCTTTAGAGAGACAACAGTAAAGGGTTTTGTAAAAATGGATCTCAATTAACATGCCATTATAATTCTATTGACTAAGCATTGGTGTGGGAACTGGACAAACTGGCAAAGTGGTTAGCATTGCTTCCTCACAGTGCTGTAGACCTGGATTTAATTCCTGGAGTGTTATCTACGTGTAGTTTGTATGTTCTCCTCGTGTTCTCATGGGTTTCCTCCAGGTGCTCCAGTTTCCAGAGTCCAAAGACATACTGGTAGGTTAATTGGCTTCTGGGAAAATAGGTCCTAATGGGAGTGTGTGTGTTCATGTCTGTGTGTGCCCTGTGGTGGACGGGCATCCCATCCAGGGTGTATCCTGTCTTGCGCCCATCGCTTTCTGGGATTCTGGGATAGGCTCTGGCTTTCCCATGACCCTGTGTGTTGGATAAAGCAGTAGGAAAGTGGATGGATGGTGTGGGAACCTGTTTAACTTGCTAATGAACTGACAATTTCTTCCTAGTGAAACTGTATGCTGTAACCAGTGAGGTCATCGATGGAGAAAAGCAATTCTATGCCAGAGCACAAAACTTCTACAAAGACGTGCCTGCATCAGAAGAGGGAATGATGGGAGATTACATAGAGCTCTCTGATGTTGACATTGAAGGCTCTAAGGAATTCCTGAAGAAGTTTGTTGGGGTATGTCCCTCAGATCTATTTACATGTATGTTTTATACAATTTCATTGTTACAGATTTGAAATGCATGTTTTCAATTTCTGCATCTGATAATTATGATTATGGAGAATACGTATTGCATAGATATTAAAACAATACTAGTGATAGTAATATATATATAATATTAATTTAAAAAATAACCAAAGTATGGATATGCATATTACTATTCTTGTGCAACACTGAAAAAGTCAATTTTAACTTCTCATAATGGGTTATCCTTGAGACAAAAGAGTTTAATGGCAACAGCATGTGTTAACTTGCTCCTTTCTGTAATAATACTTGGACCCTTAGTAAATGTCTAATCTAAATTATCAAGCAATCACTGTTGCATTTTTTTTTATCATGAACAGAATGTGAAGGGCTACTGAGCCTAAATGTAGCACACAACACGTGTGTATATTAAAGCTTTACGTGACAGCGGGTACCAAAAATAAGAATCTATTTTTAGGTTCCTTCACAAGCCTGTTTGCAAGCTTTTCGAGGTGTCCTTCTTATTATGATCTCTCGGGATTTACAAGTTAATGTAGGAAGTCAGTGTATCATGTACACTGGCCAGGAACTGCTGAGTAGACCCAGATTCTAATTATTGCTGGGCTAAAAGTCTATTTTAATTTAGTTGTTCTTTAGTTGTAGGTTCTAGTTAACAAAATCTAGTTAACAAAATCTTCCATCTGTTTTATATGTGCAGTATTAACAGAAAATCTACATAAAAACTGTTGAGTTTTTCTGGGAACAGAAGTTTAACTGAACCATCTTTATTCACACTCAGAATAATGCAATAATTAGGTTAGATTATGCGCAAACATGGTCTTCAGTTTCATTGTTATGCAGTCATTTACTTTAAAGCTCTACGCCCTCTGATCTTCTGCCTCTGTCACTTCTCTCTTGTTTGCGTGATGACAAGTTCTGGTTGACATCAGATTCCCTGAAGCTAAAGTGTGACAAAACAGAAATTGTATTGGTGAGCAGCAAATGTCAGCTGAAAAAAGTTGGAGAGCTTCACAGTAATGGTGGATGGCTTCCCTGTTCTAGCATGAGCTGTAGTCAGGAATCTGGGAGTCACACTCTGTCCTTACTCACACTCTATCCTCAGTCAAACTTAAAAAAAATGATTAAGACTTTTTTTTTACCTTAGAAATACTTCCCGCATTATGCAGTTTCTATCAATGTAGTTGTCTATGGGCTCCCTAACACACATCTGCGTAGGTTATAATATGTCCAAAAGTCTGTCGATAAACTTATTACTTGTTCCTTTGCTACCTGTGTAATGGGTGCATCAAATTTGACCAAATAATTAAAGATGTCTTTGGTCACTAGCAACGCTAATGGAATGATTCATGTGATAAAATTTTGCTTTATTATACATAAATACCCCTTTCATGATATCCATCCTTTCGACAAAAACTTTGGAAGGCAACTTATACTTATCAAATTAAGTAAAGCACAAAGGTCTGGAAATGCCTCATTAGAATTCCAAATCGACCACTGGCTGACCACTGACTTCCCTGTGGCTCAACCCCAACCAGTTATAAAATATATGAGGATACCAGCCAATGCTAAAAACCAAGTACTTACATTCCAATTGGGTTATTCTAAGGAATCAGATGTGAAGTTTCAAGTTCAGGACCTGATGACTCAAGTTCAGATACATTTTTCTGCATGTGAGCCCCATTGTAGGCCGAGACAATTGCTACTTGTGTGACCTAAAAACAGCCCTTCTGATAATAATTCACTGTCATCTTAGAACGCATCTCATTTTCTTTACAGAAACATGAGAGAAACGAGTGGCATTGGGCTGATCTTGCAAAAATACGGAGTCTACTTTCACATCATTTTCTCGTTTCGGATTGCACGTGGTGTTGCTCTGGGCAACAGCACCAGCAGTGCTGCGGTTTCGGCAGCTAAGGTGCATGATGGGATGCTAAGCTGCAGTATTGCCATGGAAACCGATGGGGATCGCTGCCCTGGAGCTGGCGTTTTCAGGATCATGTTCAAACCAAGCGAGCTTTCGCTTAACTTTCCGAAATTTGTTGATGACATTCTCCTTTCCACAATTTCTCACCTTTGGGCAATGAACTTACAGAAAGGCGTGTGTACAGAGAAGGCAGTAACTGGGTGATGAAACAGGTGTCACCTCTCTCTGTCAGGGTCCAGGGAAGGCCGGCACGGTGTGTGCTCTGGATTGCGGGTGTGGAATCGGACGGGTCACTCGCAATGTCCTCTTGCCAGTGTTCGAGACGGTGGACATGGCAGACATGATGGAGGAGTTCCTGATTCACGCTCACGAATGTTACCTGGGTGCCGATGCGGACCGCATTGAGACTTACTACTGCTACTCCCTCCAGGACCTCACTCCGCCTTGCAAGAAGTACGATGTCATCTGGATCCAGTGGGTTGCATGTAAGTCTGTTCTTTTCCAGTCTCATGCATAGATGAGCCTTACCCGTTCCACACAAAAAGAAAGTATGACAGGAATACCAAAAAATATACGTCATCGTCTATACAGGTGGATGTTTTCACCTTTTATAGTGCCTGGAGACCAGACCACCTGCTTGGTCCTCAACCAGGAAGCCACCTTTCATTGATGTTTCACCTCCTTGCCCTGGTATATCTTCTAGCTGTGGGGCAATGACAGGGAAGTCTCCTTGCCACCCCCTGCAGTTTGCCTCTCTCTAATTAGAAGGTTTTGGCCCCAAGCTCCTATCTCTTCTCCTCAGCCATAGCCAGAATTGTCCTTTTCCCACCTCTTCGCCCAGAACCTTGCCTGCCATCTTCAGTGTTATGCCGGCCACTCCCACATTTCTGATTAGACGTAACATTAATGTGCTTATAAAGTCTTGGCATCCCACTTCCACGGGGTAGATTAAGGATTTCCAGCCGCCTTCTCTGCGTTCTGCTGCAAGCTCGGAGTACCTCAGCCTCTTCCACACCTATGTAGTCTCCATTCCCTCCTCCCATGGGACTGTCAGTTCTACAAGGAGCATGGTCCTGGTCTCACGTAAAGCCAAAGCAAAATCGAAAAATCGCAAACTTTCAAGATATATTCAATTCTTTTTTACAATTGCATTATGTTCGTCGATTTCAACTTCTGCCACAGTAGATGACCAGTATGGATATAGTCTGAAACTTGAGTATAGACTTTCTAAAGTTTTTAGTGATTTTCCGGATTGAAGCAGCTACTCATTAGCAGTTGAAAATTCAGTTAAATGTACGCTTAATATAACAGCATCGTGATCACATGTAATTGCATTGCAGTTACGTAAACATAATAAAACATTTCAATATTATATTATCTTAAACATCTAAAATAATTTAAGAAAATTCACAGATAATATTTCTGAGCTTCCTACAGTACACAGCATGTTGGAGATGGTAGACACAGGGTCCCTTTTCAACACACAGCTCTTTCACAGGAATGCAGTGAACTGCAGAGCATTTTGGGAAGTACCATTTAGAATAGTAACTCCTTTCTCTTGAATTTGGTAAATACTTTATTGGCATACACACAAGAGTTCCTCCTCTCCCACTCAGGGGTGTAACTGTAGCAAATTATATTTTTAACTCTCCTTAGTTGTAGTGTTTGGTTTCATCTTCCTCCGTTACACACATGATGTAATGTGATGAGATGTTTATTTAAATTACACACCACAATATTTAAAGGAATACTGCCATTCATCTGAGACATTTTAAAAAATGTCCTTCCACTACCTGCCCAGACTCTCACCGGGAAAGGTATAGTAGTCTGAGAATGGAAGGTTGTTCCATAGACTGAACTTCAGTAACAGGATTGATTTGTTTAGAAGGAAACTGGGGCCTTGAGCAACCACTTGCTCGGACTCATGGGAAAGTGGGAGACTATAAGGTAGCTCTTGCCATTTCACAGCACTGAAAAGCCGAACCAAAATCCCTACTTTTCAAAAGACATAATAACCTTGAATTGTCTTCCTCGTAAGATATTGTCTTATATTGCACTGACAGCTCCAATCATTGTTTCAATGATCAGAGTTATCTATGCCACACTGATGAGCCCTATTAACAATAAAACAGCCGTCGATGGCTGCTAACCTTATACAGTACATGCAAAAGTGGAATTAGAACGTTCAGCTTTCTTGCAGTATGAAACAGCCAGAACTAATTAAGGTTAACTTTCCCATAATATCTAAATAATATATGATGTATATGATCAATATATATATATAATAATGTCTATGTTTGTCTCAGGTCACCTCACTGACAGAGACCTAATGGAGTTCCTGATACGATGCAAAGCCAGTTTAAAGCTAAATGGAGTTATCATCATCAAAGATAATATGGCCAGGGAAGGCTGCAGGCTGGATCCCATCGACAGCAGCTTGATCAGGCACATTGACATTGTCAAAAGCATCATCTATAAAAGTGACCTGGAAATAATTGGAATTCAGAAGCAGGAGGGCTTCCCTGATCAGATGGTGCCAGTGTGGATGATTGCCGTCAAATAATAAACTGCAAGTGAAGGACTGATCGCCACAGGAAGACCAACGAAGATCCCAAGCCATCTCATTGTAAAAATCATTGTCACAACTTCAAAAGCTTCATCTGGGCATGCAATGGCTGGATAGGAATCCATTAATTCTAAGACAAGAGCAAAGAAAAAGGCACAAAAATGAAAGGTGGAGGTCAACTACGTTCCTAAAACACACATAACTGTGCATAAAATGAGCTCTGCATTAATGTGCGCAAATGGATCTTTCCATCGCATTTTAACTGTGCCCACAGCGTATTCAAGCCAGGCTTATTGGAGTCAGTCTGTCAGTGTCACCACTGTCTGTGGTTTCATTAAAAAAGTCTGCTTTGTTCATCCACTGCCTTTTTTTTTACCAGTTCTTAGAACAAATATCAGTGACATTTACACAAAGCTGTTTACAAAATCTAAAACACATAAAGTGGCAGTCATTCTAGTTGTAATTGGACTAAGGACAAAACGTTAAACAGTTGGTTGGATAATAATTGGCACTACCGTATTCACAGAAGGATTTCTGGCCACTTTTCACTGAAACCATAAGCAATCTTTTGTTCACAACCTTTTCAGAGCTGTAATCATTTGGAAAAATCTCAAATAGTCTTTTGTCCTTTATTGTATGAGTGCAATTTTTACAAACAATTTTCCTCTTAGGTCATACATTGGAGAGTTTTTCAAACATGCCACACCACAGAACTTCATAAAGTATTTCATGTGATAATTATGCACATTTCAGAACAACACAAACAACTTGGGGAGGTCAAAGTAAGAAATGACACAGAACAGAATTCAAAAGTTAAGGCATGAGTTTGTGCAACTCTGGCACAGACTCTTCAAGTAACATTCTTGACTGATCTCAAAATCACATTACATAACCACTCCCAAGAAGACATATTATACAAAATGAACACTCGATATTTTGTATGCACAACAGAAAAAATATGCATGTGAATTAGTCCAAACAATTATTTCTGTTGTTAAAGCTATGCTTTTCTATGTTTGAGCTTTAGATTCCTGTATGTAATTATAGTGTTAATTTAAACAACCACTACCACTACCTTTTGCACATAACCAACTGTTATTAAAATATATACCCTTTCTTAATATCAATGTAGATCAACAAGGTGAGATGACCCTACAGGGTAATATTTTATCTTTACTTACATATTTCAAATCACAATTTTCCATTGTTTTTAATTTAAATGTGTTTTTATTTAATTTTTTAGAGCTTCTGTAAGAAAACCATAATGCTGTTTGTATCCAGATGTACATATTGTCTTCTCTCTCTGTACAAGGTCAAGTGATTTATTGAATTTTTTGTATTATATAATGTCATAACTGTAATGCACACGGGTAAATTTGCTATTTCTAATTAACGTCAACCTAATACCATTTACATTGGTGAATTGCAGACTGGTAAATGTATGGGGAAGTTAAGAGTATGGAGCTGTGAATGTATTTTAATATCTTCAAAAACACATTTGATGCTATTTTTGCGATACTTTCATTCTTTAAGAAACCAAGAATTGTGAACACATGTTTTGGAGAATTTTAATTTAATTGTTTGAGAGGTTCTAAAAAAACATTTGTTACCAAGGTTAGAAAAAAAAAACATCTGTTACCAAACTCACATTGTTTAATTTGATGTCTTTCAAATAATAAACCCCTTTAGAAGCCTTTTAATTTTTATTTTATATGTGTTACTCAACAATTAGTGTGCTGAAAATACACTCCTTATTAAAAAAATAAATAAATCTTACACCAAGGGAAATAACACTAAAGAATAACTGTGGACTGTGAAGTTATGTTAAATTTGACAAAATTTCCAATCTTCTTTCACTCATTTTTGGGTATTGCAAATAGTCCATATTTTCTCTGGAAAAGGCTGCATCTTGCCAAAACTAGTTTTTTAATCTAGCATACAGTTCTCCCAAATTATAATCAGTTCTATTTTAATTAAAATGTAAGTTTTTCCGTAATAATGGAAAATAAATTGAAAGAAGCCACTGTAGTATCTACAATAATATTCTGAAGATGCTTTAACTGTCAATCCATCAAGATTGGATTTTTCAGAAGACTAATGTTTTTATCATCTCTGTAATGCAGACTTTATTAAAGATGGATCATCTTAATTGTTTTCAAAATGTTATTTCTGGACCCATGTGTTTGCAATTAGTATCTAGTCTGATGTGCTGGTGCAGTCATATGTAGGAATGATGTCACTCCATCAGTCAGATAACAGGAAATTGCTTAAGAAAATAAAAATATATTTTGATAAATAAAAGACTAACAGTAATGCTTTTGACAAATACTGCTCCTACAGAAAATGTAACATTTAGTGAGTGAAAATTTGGTGTTTACCCTTCACTTCGCTGAGTTATTTTGTTTAATACATAAAATGATGGATTTTCTGAGGAAGTCTTAGGTTTGAAAGAAAAATAATCTATTTTTATTGCTTCTTTTGCCGTTTTGGGAAATAGTGTACAAAATGCTGTTTCTCACCTTCGGTTTTAATTTGTGATCTCGGGCGTCCTCAAGCTCACTAGTTAAGTGGATAAAGAAGGCAAACGCACATCAGAGATTACATTGAAAAACTTGATCTCATTTTGCGGAGCTGTCCCACTGTCTTAAGCCTAATGCACAAAGCCATTTTCTATACCCCAGAACAGTTCTTCCCAAATAATTTCAGTCAGAGCCGGACTTTCAAGGTCCCAAGCTTACTGCTACACGACAAATCGTTTTTATAGTAAGCAAGAAATTGCAAGAAATATGCCAAGATATAAGATTTTATTTTTTTATTGCAATAACACTGCAAGAAGTAACATGTATGAAGGACTAAGCATAAACTTCTTCATGCAGAATGTTGTCACCGAATGCTTTACTTACAACTATTGTTGCCTACTATTCCACAGATGGCATTTCTACACTGACCTTTAGTGCTTTCACACACTTTGTTAGGCATTTGTAAGAGCATGTCAGTATAGTGGTAGATATGATTCCTGAATCAAGTGATATTAGAAATTACCAGCATGTAATTTCACAATTATCTAATATGCTTTAAATTGCAGTTTGGGACATTTTGTGTTTGTTTTTGTCTTATGAGTTTGAATTACCCTCCCTTTTTAAGAGTTTTTTATTTTCTGATAATGCCAGCAATCGTCTCCCATTAACCTTAGTCTTTTCAATGAGAGAAAGTGTGGAGGTGATTGTAAATAATACTGAGTAATAAAATTATATTGCTCAAGATAAGTTTGAGTACTACTCACCAAAAGTGAAAAAAGAGCCCTACTCAATGTGTTTCAGATCTGCGCTCTCATTAAAATAGGTAGAAGTCCTAGGATATTTCCTTATACAATTATCAGCTTGAAGAGCTTTGTTTTTGAATTTTGCGAATCGCTTAGCCCTGAAATATTGTTGGACAGGGAACAAAAACAACGATTCACTCATAACGGAGAATCATAATTGCCTTTCGCAGGCACACATGTTGAGTGCTTGCCAAATTGCAGCAGAATATATAGTATATTCAGTCATCTCTCTGACCTTTCAGGAGGCCATGTTTTTATAGAAAAACAGATCACTGAGATCTTCTCAAAGAGTTATAAAAACGTTCATAAGTATTTTTCAACTACCAATCAAAAACCACATTGTTCTGAGAAATTACTTTCAGATGGGTCTGTAGATAGAGGAGTGCAATTGTTCCTAGTTGAACAGACAATGCATGCTTTTTATCTGCTTTGGCTCACATTCAAGCTTGTCAGAAATTATCTACATGAATGCATTATGTAGTTTCCTCAAATATTCAGTCTGAATGCCCCAGTGTAATGTTTGAAGTTGCACAATGTGGAACCCTTCTGCCTCTCCTAAATGCCTCATGAATGGACAGTTTAAAAATGTAAAGTGGTTAAAAAATGTATCCAAATGTTTAACAAAATCCCACTAGATTGTGAAAATTAAAACTAATGGGCCAAAAGAAAAGCACTTTTTTTCCCTGTCCCATTTGGGTCTTTTGAAAAGTAAATCCTTTCACATTCTTTAAAAATTAAAGTTCAAAGTACCCAAAGGTTTTCAGTGCAGGTGCAGATGCCAGGAGGCAGGACACATTGCCAATTGTACATTCACCTTTTCAGTACTGGTTAGTAGTTTTGACAGTCATTGCTATCATTTTTAATATAGCTCATTTCTTTGGTCTCTGCAAAACGGGGATTTGAATTTATTAACTTAAACAAAGCTAATGGATTTAGTCATACAACTACAAAATTAGACAAGCTTCCAGCTGAGAAGAATATATCAACTATGACAAACCACAACAGCTTAATAGGAAAGGACACCATTGTGTTAAACCAAAGAAAAGGTCAAAATAATCTGATAACAATATTCATTGGTGAACTGTATATTTCAAATTTCATGTTTTTAGAATCTGCTAAGAGAAATGCTCAACTCTGATTATTATTTTAGTTTAAGAATATGTTAAATAAATATGTCACAGACCAAAGATCCCCTTTCACAACAAGAAAAAACTGATTTGTACATTTATTAGTTTATAAGTATACACCGAATAAAAACGGAATGTATTTTCTATGTGAGGGAAATACGGTTCACAAAAAGATTTTTACACCTAAATAATGGCAATTACAACTGGCAGTACCTTAGTAACAAATCTTAATCAAGAATAATGAAAATAGTTACATTGATGGCTTGCAGTGATATTATATATTCAAGGTAACTTATTTTGGTGATAAATGCAGTTTCTGAATAACTAGAATATTAATGTACATAATCAAATATTACTCCAAAATCGGAAATTAATTAGGAATATTTTGCTCAAGCTGGAAGTAGAAACATATCAATGAGCAAAATGCTGACTTCAGCTGTTCCCATTTATCAACAACATAAAAAAATACACTGGTCTTTCTGTCCTGAATATAACCTATTTGTCACTGCTTGTTACATGTCTGGGAGCCTGTGAAATGAGTCACGCTGCAGAGCAGAAATGTGATACTTTTTCCTTCCAGAAAAGGACATTTGGCTCTCACTTCAGAGCTTGGTGTCTCACAGTATCCCAGAACTGACAGAACGCTAGACTGAAAGACATAGACTGAGAGATGATATGAAACTTGCACCAGTCCTCTACATACTGTAGCAGTCAGTAAGGAGCATTAGTGCCTGTGTTCGAAGGGTTCAACAGTCCTCACTGACCATGCAAGAGACTGGATAACCTTTGCTCAAACCTTTTGCTGTAGCAAAATCAAGCCCTGCAGTTGTAAACAGATCCCACACTTGGTTATCTTTTAGCTGCAAATGTTCAATTTCAGAGTTTGTATGCACATATCTGTCACCATCAGGTTTGCTCAGATTTTTAAAATAATTTTCTCCTCTTCTCATCCATCTCTGTTTGGTGATGGGTTCAATGCCAAGCCAACAGGTACAATTCCTAAACTGCTACATGCCATCAGTGTCATGTGATACAGATTTGTACCTATCGTAGGCAGCATAGATGCCATTTGAGTTTGAACTGAGTTGCTGCCACAAGTTGATGCTCTAAAACTCGGTGAATCTTGTTTATGAATTGTTTGTGGAGTCATAAGAAGATAAGAAAGGTTACAGATGAGAAGAACATCTGACCGGTTGAGATCGCTTATTGATCCAGCTGGTTCATGAAGGAAGACATGATACCAGTTTTATCACATGGCTGGGTAGCTTCTTCCACACTCCCACAATCCTTTGGATAAGGAACTGGCTCCTGTTCACGGCTTTTAACGCACTTCCACACAGTTTCCACTTCTGTCCTCTGGTTTGTGTTTCCCTTTTCATGTTAAAGAAGTCCACTGCATTGACATTGTCAGTGCCTTTGAAGATTTTAAATACTTGTATCAGATCCCTTTGTAGTTTTCTCTGCTTGTCTCTGTTCAAGGTCCAAAAGGTTAAGTCTGACAGTGTAGGGCTCTCCTTTAAGTCCCAGAATGCACCCGGCTGCTTTTCTGTGGACTGACAGATTGACAGCTGTGGCCTTCTTTGTCCCAGAGCTGCCTTTCAAGTCTCTGTCAAGGGCCGAATCTGTATTTCCTTTGCTTAGTGAGTTAAAATGAGGAAAACTCAAATCAAACTGACCTGACAATGTCAACAATATTGTATATGAGAGGGTGACTAAGGAGGCCTTACCCATAATTTTCCAAAGTTTTCTCATTAAACACCTTTACCTGTATCCATTCCTTCATTTGTATTATAAAGACAGTCCACTCTATAGGCTGAGAAGGGCAACGTGGCCTTTTGCTCGAGAGATATATTTTTATTTTGTTTCATGTATGTGTTAAAATGGAATTGTTTGTTTCCTACGCTCTGTCCCATGACCCTGGGAGCCCACATGGCTACTTTAAAGAACATTGGGGATTTGACACAATGACTGAAGCGTGGGAGAGCAAAGATCTTGTCGTGGAACTAAAAACCAATCTTCTCATACAGGCATTCCCATGAGTTCCTGGCAAGCTTTTATATAAATATAGAAATAATAAAAAAAAACATTTTAAACCTGAATGGACTTTAGTGGAAAATGGATATTTTTATTAAGAATTCTTGGGTTGAGTGTCTTTTTCAACATGTTTTAAAAATTGACAGCGCTACAGAAATACTTTTTTTAGGTGATGTGTGCTGAACACAAATGTACAGTAGATGAACGGGTTTT